CTGCTGCAGTGCCAAAAAAACTCCGTCGAAATAAATGCCGATAAATAAACTGCAATTATGTAAATAATTTTCACACGAACTTACAAATATCTTAATTAATATATCTTAATTAATATATCTTCATTAAATCTTAAATTATTTACTAATATTTTATACGTCACGAGTGAACCATCCTGAGCTCTGCTTACTAAAAATACGCGGTAATCGCGCGATAGTATTAGCATTTAAGATTTAACATGAAATGGAGCCATTTCGACTCTAAGTATGGAGTACTAACAGCAGTGTAAAAACATATATATAAGCATATAGGTGTATATATATTCAACACTTACTGTATATGACACAAATTTTCGGTCCGTCCGGACCCTCTTCAGTCCGATCGTCGTCTGAACCAATCGGTTTGTCTCCGCTTCCGCATAACATGTTACGTACCGCTATACGGAGTAGTGGTTATTCTTGAGTATGGTAAATAACTCATGACATCATACTGTTCCTGCATTTGCATACAGGACACATTGGCGATGCTTTTGTTTTTGTTGTTTGCTTTGTTTTGTTTTGTTTTACATTACATTCAGTGTTAAGACCACTGAATTGTTTAAACGCTTAAATAATTAAAAACATAAATTATGTAGATTAAATTATCATAGAATTTACAATAAAACCTATAATTTATAAGATTATTTTTGAACCAGAATAAAATAGGCCTAGGTAAAATTTTATTGAAAAAAAACCCACATTTTACATAGACGTAAGTTGATTTAAAATGCTGAATCATTATTAATGGTATATACCTATTATATATTTCTATAAATTAATCAACAAATATCTCATTAATCTCACTATCGTAAAGAGGCCTATTGAAGCTCTAACTTGATGAACACCTGTCTCTTATACACATCTAGATGTGTATAAGAGACAGCCCCCCACCTCACCTTCGCGCCCCAATCAGCACCCCCATCTAGATACGCCACTGGAGCCAGGGGAAACAGTTACAACACTATATAGGCCCTAATTCAATTACAAATTTGCTTTTTGAAATACAAAACCCCAAATGGAGAAAAAAAACCCCCGTGAATTCACCTGAAACGTGCTTCTTATTTAAAATATAGGCCTAGGCCTACGTGCTTGCTAGCGGCCATCTGATAGTCGGATTTTCCAAGACTATAATTCAAACATGCAATAATTATCAAAAAGTGCCAAACAAACATTTCAGAACATTAGTGCACAGAGCAAAATACAAGAATAGGGCGACGACAAATTGGCCCTTGTTATAGTTAGCACTAAATGCATCCGCTCGAACCGGCATCCGCTAGAACTGACATCGCTGAGGCAGTTCCTGCTTTCTATCGGCACTGCCGCAGAGCGAAAAAAGCTGTCTATCGCCACTGCCACACAGTGTTATAAATCTGCTATTTTTCTATCTGCATTGCCGCGGAGTGCCAAAAAAACTCCGTCGAAATGCCGTATAAATAAATGCCGATAAATAAACTGCAATTATGTAAATAATTTTCACACGAACTTACAAATATCTTAATTAATATATCTTAATTAATATATCTTCATTAAATCTTAAATTATTTACTAATATTTTATACGTCACGAGTGAACCATCCTGAGCTCTGCTTACTAAAAATACGCGGTAATCGCGCGATAGTATTAGCATTTAAGATTTAACATGAAATGGAGCCATTTCGACTCTAAGTATGGAGTACTAACAGCAGTGTAAAAACATAACATGAAATGGAGCCATTTCGACCCTAAGTATGGAGTACTAACAGCAGTGTAAAAACATATATATAAGCATATAGGTGTATATATATTCAACACTTACTGTATATGACACAAATTTTCGGTCCGTCCGGACCCTCTTCAGTCCGATCGTCGTCTGAACCAATCGGTTTGTCTCCGCTTCCGCATAACATGTTACGTACCGCTATACGGAGTAGTGGTTATTCTTGAGTATGGTAAATAACTCATGACATCATACTGTTCCTGCATTTGCATACAGGACACATTGGCGATGCTTTTGTTTTTGTTGTTTGCTTTGTTTTGTTTTACATTACATTCAGTGTTAGGACCACTGAATTGTTTAAACGCTTAAATAATTAAAAACATAAATTTATATGTAGATTAAATTATCATAGAATTTACAATAAAACCTATAATTTATAAGATTATTTTTGAACCAGAATAAAATAGGCCTAGGTAAAATTTTATTGAAAAAAAACCCACATTTTACATAGACGTAAGTTGATTTAAAATGCTGAATCATTATTAATGGTATATACCTATTATATATTTCTATAAATTAATCAACAAATATCTCATTAATCTCACTATCGTAAAGAGGCCTATTGAAGTGTTATTGAAGTATCGTTAATTCTTTATTAAAGCATTATTTGAGCACCTTTATTATTATTAATTTTATTATTATTATTATTATTTTATATATTATTTATCAACCATAGTAACATTGAAAACAGGAATTATGTGCATCACAGAAAATAAGCTTATAATTTATAAGATTATTTTTTAAAACTGAATAAAATAGATACAATTTTTATTTAATAGCAGGTTTTGCATGGACGTAAGTTCATTTAATATGCTGATTGTTATTACCGTTGTCACAAACAGTGACAACGGTGAATACATAATTCCTTGGCGGAGGTAGAAATCGTTGCTATTATCCAAATAAAACACACAATTAAGCCTATGGATCAGTATAGAAAACAACAATATAGCGCAAAATCGTATGGCCGGACGGACGCACTCTAGTGATAAAGTTTTCCTCCATTAGTGGAAAAAGAAGGGCGCCGTGTGCGTCTGGATATACTTAGCCCCTGTCTCTTATACACATCTAGATGTGTATAAGAGACAGACTCATGACATTTATGTACACGGACAGTGAAATGACATAATATATTATGTTTACTAATGTATTATCATAAATATTGGACCATTAAAGAGGACATCTATCAAGCATATAGAATAAATAACATAAAATCAGTACAATAAAACATAACTTAATAAATTATTTTTATTTTTTTGGCAGTTATTGACAAAAGGAAATCATTCATCTCTTCTGAATTAATACCAACACCGACCGCACCTACAAGATCACATACACCTATGGAATATACAAAAATGGAATTCCTTGAAGCTGATACAGCCGAAGTAAACTCACCGCGTGCTTGCTCTCCTCCAAAGGTTCCTGCACGACCCTCAATTCGTGGAAAGGCTGTTTTGACAAGACAAGATGCTGATTCATCGGGAGATGAAGTGCGTCCCATGAGGCCAACTCCTCCGAAACGAACTCGCAGGAGCCCGGGTGAATCTCCTGTACATGCTCTGATTAAGGTGCATGAAGAATTGATAAAAATTGAGGAAGAGAAGGTTAATGGCAATGGAAACTTCATGTGCATGGCGTGCGAGTGGGGTAAAGAAAGGTTGCCTCCTGGTCTTCATGAAGAGGACGAGGATTGGACACGTACTTGGCCTCGTAGATTTAGCCGGGCTCTCACAGACACGATGAGAAGCCAAGGGTCATGTGATACCCTGTCTCTTATACACATCTAGATGTGTATTTATTATTATTATTATTATTATTATTATTATTGGTTTTTTTTTAATGTATATGCCAGGCCTCTAGTGTAGACCTATTTATACATAGTTTGTGGCTTGGACTCCCAACCCTTAGGTCAGGGGTTCGAAACTCTTGTTGTGCAAGTTGCTTGTGTCCTTGGGCAAGGCACTTTATCTACGTTTGTCTCTCTCTCTCTCTACCCAGGAGTATAAATGGGTACTTGGTAGGATTTTGTAGCATTGAATGCTCTAGTTTCGTGCGCTAAAAGAAGTAGCGAACGACTAGGGATACTCCCCCGGAGCAGAGAAGGTTGCACCAAACATGAAACACAAGATAGTTCTCCACAGTGACACAAAAAAAGTGTTCCACCGAGATGCATGTTGGGAATACAAACAATGGGACGCCCCTTACGGCTGGATCTAAAAACCAAACTTTCGTTACCAAGTCGTCGCGTATTTTATTGTCAATTCTCAATTAAAAAATTGTACACAATTGTACAATTAGTACAATTGTACCCAGACAGTGACAACGGTGAATACATAATTCCTTGGCGGAGGTAGAAATCGTTGCTATTATCCAAATAAAACACACAATTAAGCCTATGGATCAGTATAGAAAACAACAATATAGCGCAAAATCGTATGGCCGGACGGACGCACTCTAGTGATAGAGTTTTCCTCCATTAGTGGAAAAAGAAGGGCGCCGTGTGCGTCTGGATATACTTAGCCCACAGCCATTGATATATTTCCATAGAGAAAATAGCCAACAGAAGGGCGCCCTGTACGTCGGGCACGAAGTATAGAAAACTTTCATGGTTAAAAAGAAAGGTGCTGCCTACGTCGGGCACGATTTCCGCCTCATTTTTACTATGCGAGTGCTCTATCTTGTCTTTCTAGTATCTTGGTTGCACTTTGTGCTGGTTGCCATTGTACGTTATCCAGTGACCAGGGGTAATAACGCTCGCGCCTTTGATCATTCAATTTGAATTGGCGCCTTATAAATATTTGGGTATGTCTAATGTCGATATTGATATTTTTTTTTCACAATCTAAAGCTTTTTAATGTATTTTCATTATATCTATTTACATAAATATTTTATATGTATTTTAACCTGTTAGTGGCGGTTGTTATCGATGTTGGTTAGTACGAAATAAATATATAAAAAAATAAATAAATAAATATAATAATGTATATATTTAATAATTTAATTAGAAATAATTATAATTAATTGTAAAACATATGTAATATAATGTTAACAATAATATAGGCTAGGCTAAACCTAATTAATTATTGGTACCATAATGTCATCTATCGATAAAAACATCGATTCGATTAACAGCAGCTTTTCGCACTGTGGCAGTGCCGATAGACAGCAACTTTTTCGCACTACGGCAATGCCGATAGAAAACAGCAGCTTTGTGGCACTGCGGCAGTGCCGATAGAAAACAGCGCCTATCTTTCGCACTGCGGCAGTGCCGATAGCCATTACACGACGACTGCGAAATTTTCAGTACAGTAATTTGTTGTTTTTAATGAGCTTTATATGATTAATTCACATTTTTAATATCCTCAGTGAGTATTGCTTGAGCGATTTCGTTTGTTGAAATGGCTAAACCTCTAGGCATTGTACTACTAGGCCTAGCTAGGCCTAGGCTACGCCTGGCCATAATAGTAGCCTAGCATTATTATACTCTTTGGTCCTAGCAGGGAGTTGTTATAACAACTCCCTGCCTAGCTAGACCTAGCCTAGGTAGGCCCGTACGGACCGGGACGGCATCCCGGCCCAGGTTAGGCTGATTCAGACTTGTTTCCTCCCTTCATGACGATGAGGGGCAGGCTAGGCCTAGGCCTGCTACAACCATCATTACTACTTGTACTACTACTACTACTAGACTACTACTACTACTAGGGCCTACTACTGCTAGGCATACTGCGACTACTACCACCACCTGCAAAGAGTGTATCAAGGCTTTGTCGTCCGAAGTAATGTTTATTATATTAGTAAAAAAAAGTAGATACTGATATAAGGCATAGGCCATACCAGGGAGTTGTTATAGTGACACTATAAATAACAACTCCCTGGCCATACAATCAATGAATGCACCTCATTGTATCATGTGATACCCGCGGTCCATGGATCGCACCTGATCCGTGATGTGTTGTCTATTTATACTGTGCAAACTCCAAATTATAGATACTGTATCTTGTATAATAATAGATGGATTTAGTGCCACCATGATTTGCCTGATCCATGACCCATGTCCCCAACCAATGGGAAAGCCTATTTCCAAGAGGATCACATTCTGTGAGGATTACATTTTTTTTTCTTGCTGAGGAATTGTGAACTATACTATCACTATATACTACACTACTATACTATAGTACATACTATACTGTGTACTATAACTACAGTATATTAAGTCTCAGCCCGTGTCTCAGGTAATCTTTCAAATCAACGAAAAATTATTTAACTATCCTAAAGCACTTAGGAGCATAATTGACTAAAGTGACACTTTTTCTTATTTGATAACTTAGACATGGATTGTATTCTAACATTGTGTAAACGATGTACAAAATGCTGCAGCTACCTCATCTTGGCTCACAGGTCCTTTTCATCATCAAGGTATTTATAAGGATAATAAGGTTAAGGTTATTAATAACAATTCATTTACAATGGATATTCATTCCCTGAAGATATGGTTAATAATGCTGGTGGTGATAAGAAGGGTGATGATGATGAGGAAGGTTTAACAGAAATAAATTAGTTTAATAATATAGTCCTTAAAGATTGTTAAAGTTTTAATGCTAACTTTCATTATGTTTATATTAATGACTTGTTCATATTAATGATATGTTCATATTAATGACTTGCCTCATATTATATACTGGGATTTTCAATGTTCTTTCTTCCATTTTTATTGTGTAAAGTTGAAATTTGTATTTTATTTTTAATATTATTACTAAATATCAAGGTTAATTTGTTGTATTTTATTAGGCATAGGTTTATTGAGGAATGTATTTTTATATGTAAATGATGATGATGATGATGATAAAGAAATTATGTAAAATTGTTTGAATAAATGTGGGTGTTCCCCACGAAAGATAAAAAAAAAAAAAACTTTCATTATGTTTCATTTGTACAGTATTGCTTTAGAAGCATCTGATTTTTATGATGTTCTAAATGTATCAAGAACTGCAAGTAGGAAAGAGATAAAACAGGCTTATTTTTCACTGTCAAAGCAGGTGAGGAAATAAGTGCAGTTGTATTTATTTATTTATTGTGTTTAACTCTAAGATGTAGATGGTGAGTTCTATTCCCATTGGGATTCACATGCCATTTACATATTTTAAAAAATATATTATTTAGCTTGGTTTTTAACAATGATGATGAAAATACTTTGTCATGGCTTAACATTCCAAAAGAATATTCAAAGGAAATATATAAAGGTGTAGTTAATGGCAGAAAATCATTATCTCATTGTAAATGTGCACAGTTGAATTTTTAACTTATCAGCTCTTCTGGTGTACAAGATAATTTTAAAGTCAAATGCCTTACCCATTGATACAGAGATCTGTACTAAATGAATTAAAAACTTTTCACCATGCTCTAATCTCCAATTTTAGGTTTTATGACCAAAATCACAAACCCCATAAATGTTGTTTAGTGTAGTGGTCTGGTAACCAAAATGTATTACATTAAGCCTTGGAGTGTGGCCTTTTATGCTCCTCTTAGGTAAAAAAAAAACATTTTTGTGAAAAAGCTGGCCTGAGATTTTCAAAATTTTGGTTTGTCTAAGTTTCTTAGACTAACTAAATTGATGTACATTATAGCTTCATCCAGATCGAAATCTATCAAACCCTAATCACCATAAGAAGTTTGTAGAGCTTAACGAAGCTTACAATGTCCTCAGCAAGCCACTTTCAAGGCGACAGTATGATGAGAGGCTCTCAAGATTGAGATGGGGGCAGAGTACTTCAGGTGCAAGTTCCGGCCAACCACACTCCAACCACTACAATTGGTCAGTTTAAAATATAGGTCATGTATAAATTTACATTCACTAGATGAACTGAACTTGTGCAAATTCTTATATAATTTATTATACTTTACTATAGTGCACACACGCTTTAATAATAATGTTATGTAGTGCATAAAAGCTTCTATGCGCTCACGCTTTAATAATAATGTTATGTAGTGCATAAAAGCTTCTATGTGCTTTACAGCAACAAATTTAACTTAACACATCTTATAAAAAGTTAGTGTACTGTAAATCATAACAATCATTCAAAATAGTTTAAATATACATTTTTTATATAGCTTAGTTCTGAAAATAGATGGTATTTTTGCACCAAGATAGTTTTATCAAATATCATTTATCAGACTGTATGTATTACTGGCCTCTTTTATCAGACTGTATGTATTACTGGCCTCTTTTATCAGACTGTATTTATTACTGGCCTCTTTTATCAGACTGTATGTATTACTGGCCTCTTTTATCAGACTGTATGTATTACTGGCCTCTTTTATCAGACTGTATGTATTACTGGCCTCTTTTATCAGACTGTATGTATTACTGTTATCAGACTGTATGTATTACTGGCCTCTTTTATCAGACTGTATGTATTACTGGCCTCTTTTATCAGACTGTATGTATTACTGGCCTCTTTTATCTGACTGTATGTATTACTGGCCTCTTTTATCAGACTGTATGTATTACTGGCCTCTTTTATCAGACTGTATGTATTACTGGCCTCTTTTATCAGACTGTATGTATTACTGGCCTCTTTTATCAGACTGTATGTATTACTGGCCTTTTTTATCAGACTGTATGTATTACTGGCCTCTTTTCCCTTCACTTTTTTTACCACATATTCCATGTCTTAGCTGTTCATTTATAATATGAAATTATAACCTGATTGTTAGTCTGCTAGCCAAAAATCCTTGTACATCAAATAATAATTTGTGTCGGACAAACCCATTAACAATATTTATATATATCATCTACTAGGTACCATGAAGTAAACCATTCAGTGCATTCACCAAACTCAAAGAAAGGACATTTTAGGGGTTACTATGGTATACAAGGTGTTGACAAGCTGAGTAACCGTATGATTTTGTACGGTGTTCTTATCTACTTCGTAGCTGGTATTATTGTGCATTATTTAGTATATCAGTAAGTTTTGTGTTATTTGTCTGTTGTATCAGTGTTGCCACTCTATAAAGTTTGTGTAACTATGGTTTGGTGGGTAAGATACACACCAGCATTTTAATCTCAGGGTTCTGGGCTCAAGTTTTGAGAAATATTGTCAGGATTTTTCTCACCTCACAATAGTTTCCTCATGTGTCTCAACTGCTTATTGATTTTCAATATAAGTATTGAATCTGCTGAGTATGAATGTTTCATCATTTGTTAATTATTAGTAAGTTATGCAATACCCTTTATAAGAAGTGTAATATTGACAGGAAAACCTATATTTGACCTCAAAGTTGAATTAGTAGAATATTAGAATGATACTCAAATTTTCTGTGGTTTGCATTTTGTTATGGACTACTGTATACAAATGTTTTCAAAATATGATTTATCTTATCTTGGTGTATGAATGGTAATGTGTCTGTTGTCTCATTTAGACAAAGCAGTGAATATACACAGCAGCAGTTAAATGAAAAGGATAAAAAGATAGCGCTGATTTATGATGTCGCTAAAAAGAGAGCTATGTAAGTATGATCAGATGACCTCTTTCTTCAGGTGACAAGCAGAGACATGAACATAGTACAGAAAGCATTCATTAAAATCAATGATTACCTCCGTTTCACTGGAAAACTCATGTACTAAGTTTTAGTATTCAGGACACTATTGAAAAATAAGTTTTAGTTTTGAGGACCCTATTGAAAAAGTAATGTGAAAAACAACACCCAAAGGAGTCATTATTTCCTTCAAAAATTGCATTCAAGCCCATAGCCTGTATGTTTACATGTTAGGTTCAAAATTAAAGTGTACTGTATATTCCTCAATTGGTCATGCTCCAATTGCAGGGTATATATCAACGTAAATGTCAGCATATTTATAATAAACAACATCAACACCTACGAATTCACACTATGAAAACACAGACTTCAGTTATAACAAATTAAATATATTTCATGACACCCACATGCAAAATCAGATTATGGCTTTTTATCCCACTGAGGTTTTAATGTAATTACAACTATACCAAATTACACTGAATCTGAAATTATTGTATTTATATTTAGTTTAGGATTTTTGTTTGTAGTGTAAACAGTAGTTTATTTCTGCCATGCTGTTGTGTTCACATTGCTGTAATCAGACATTGTTGAAACCCAGACAAAAAAAAAATTAACTTCCAGCCGACTAATGGCATTTGCATGCAATGCATATCGCCCACGTTGACCACATTACTTTGGCAATGTGTCAGCACATAATTAGTTTTTTAACAAGTGTGACAATATTTTATGTACTTTTCCGATGTGTCCTGTGAAATGCAGAAAACAAATTAAAGAAATTGTAGAAATTTCATCTAGAACTTATTGATTATTTTTAAAAGTTTTAATTGAACAATTTTCAAAATATTTTTCAGTTGATGGTTACTTTAATACTAAGTGGTTCTATTTACAGCCTAGTCATCACACAGAAATTTAAATTTAACTAAAAAAGCTTATATGATGATTTATTAACCTTTTTGTTATATGTAACCTTTTCATGGCTAGCTCCCAATATTGGTGTGTGGGCTTTGATGGACCCCTGAGGGAAATAAGCAAAGCTCTAGTTAAGCTAATGTAAATTATTAAAACAATTTAGCAATCCTATATACTGTCTCTTATACACATCTAGATGTGTATAAGAGACATTCAGATTAAATACATAGAAATTATACTATTTTAATTTTAATAATAGTACTAATAACAGTAAAGAATCAGAAATATGGATTGATTCTTCTGTAGATTTTACCAAAAACAGTATAATTTAAAATTAATTATCAAGTGTAGCATTCTGTAGATTAAAATTATTCATCATCAAAGATGTTGGGGAATTTCACTTGGTTGCAACCATTACACTGGTGTCTCTGGTATACGTTTACCGTAGTGAATGAACTAACCAAATTGTTATACAGAAGAAAAAATAATATTTAATATTAGGTTTTTTAATACATTTTTGGCTGACTGGAATTGAATTCTCATTGAATCATAAAAATATTTGTGTAGGTGTAGGTTTGCATTGATTATTTAAACTATGATCCTAGGAATGATTAATAGGGCCCATGGAAAAATTGTTTAAGCTTAAATTAGTCAAGTTCTATTATTTTTGGGTCATGAGGTGTTGGACCTATCTTAGAAGTATGTTTCACTCAAATAAATAATATTGAGTGTTTACTGTATATATTTAAGGAAATCATTAACTTTGAATTAAAACTGAGATTTTTCTTTACAATTTACAGATGCAGTTATGATATTAATAATTATCATCATTGTTGAATAATAATAATAATATTTTATAGATGATACACAATCTGATTGCTTTTTTCCTTTCATTTTTTAATGTTCAGTATGTGATTTTAATGTTCAGTATGTGATTTTACAACTTGCTTGTCAGAATACATGTCAAAAATGGCATGACTTACTTTTAGTCTAAGTGTAAAGAGTCAATGTTCTTTGCAGCTAAGTTTAGCTCATATCCTTGGAGACCAATTATGTTTTTTTACATTTCATTCATGTACAGCATTCAGATTTGATTCCTGACCACGTACATAAAAAAATGCCCAGCATCTCTGCCAAGTATCAATTACAGCAGTTGATTTGATTTAATTTATTCTAAACAAATATAATTACCAAAGAGTAGGTTCACACTATCCAGATGGGGAGATAACCGTTAACCGTTAGCATGCGTGTGGGAACGGACGATCGGTTAGCTCTAACCGTTCCCATGAAGAGGATACGCTTTGGTTAGCGAGTGCTATCGGTTAACAGGTTGACCTCATTTTTATCATTAACCAATCAGATGCATGCATTTCCAATTTTGATCAGTGATCCCACCGTCATCTTCTTCATATCTAGATCGGGGATTTTCTAATATGAACGCAATGGTAAGCGCGTATATCTGGATCCTGCTAACCTTAGATGGTGTGTGTGATTGTAGCCAAAATATTATATAACGTTATATAGTATTATCAAAATTGGAGTTATTAAATTTATTAAATTTTCTCAAAAGTAAGGCTAATTATCTACTACTATTTATTAAATATTTTACAACAAATTAACTTCATTTTCATTTTTATCTGAACATCATGAGCAAGGTACATTCAGGCTGTGTTAGTTAATTTGATCAAATCAATCATCACATTTTTCTTAATTTAATTGTTTTGTTTGTAATTCAGGGAAAATGGAAATCAGAAGCAGATGCAACTAATACGCAAAACACACGAAGACTTGCAAAGCCAACGCTTACACTACGTCAACGATGATGACTGACAGTGTCCGGATATTGAAATCAAAAGTCGAATTTGATATTAAAAATAGTGAAAAGTGAATGATGGGTGGATGATGGTGTTTTGTTTTTATATGTCAAACTCATCAGTGTCATGTGCTGTCATGACGCTGGTACAAAATTTGACAACTGGATTATTCTGTTGTTCTTACCATGGCTTGAGAAAAAGCCTTTTGCAGTATTTTTTATCCTGTAGCATAGATTAGCTTGTTTCACTGTGAATCTATTACTATGGGAATTTCTTGGTTCCTATATACTACTGCTGTGTTGTTTCAAAAGTTAACTTTAATGAATTTGTTACTATAGTACTTCTGTTACTTATAGGCTAATAAAATGAATTTTAAAGAAATGGTTTATTTATCTAATTTAATCACACTTCATGATGAATAAATTAGTCTGTCAGATAAGATCATATTCAGTTTGATGTTTGTCTGTCAAATTCAACAGACCTTTATGACAACTTTCAACAGATTAAAGTCAGCCACTCACTGCATCGTATGATGAATCAAACTTAACTCACCTGGGAGCGCTAGGCAATGTGACGCCGTCTACTGATTGTCGGTGGCAGTCTGAACGGATCATCATTAAAAACGATCCGATGTATCATCATTAAAAACGATCCGCTGTGTGCGCGTTGTGGCAGAAAAAATGGCATTCGTAAAACCAGGTATATTAGAACCCGAAGAAAATCACTTCAAATTCAATATTATGTATGAAAAGTGAAGGAATTCCTTAAATCAATGGATATATTATATGAATATTGTTATGAAAATTAGGCATATTATTCAAATGCATTGGTCCAACATAAAAGAAGAATATGCATTAGAAACTGGAAAACATTTAAACTCACAGCACTGAATATTAAAATATATAATTATTATAAACAATGAAAAATTTAAATATACAGTATTAATGTATATATTTAAGTATATTAATATATTAAGAGAAATCAAATTAATAATATACAAAATATATATTTTAAAAAAATGCATTAAAAATAATATATTATAATTATTAATTATATACAATATAATTTTGGATTTTAATTGCTTGGTTGTTAAAGTGCTTGTCTTCTTGTTCCAGGGTTCTGGGTTCAATTCTAACAGTAGCAGGATTTTTCTTTCATTTTTTCATTGGTTTATAAAACATAATTCCTCCATGGTCTATGCAGAGCATCTTGTGTTAAGGGATTCACACTTCACTAAGTGTGATCAATGCTTCTTCGAATGTGAAGTAATTAAATTTATTACATGTTGAAGAAAATGTTTCTGAGAATTGTATTTATTAATCATCAACTTATATTAACATCAGCCGCCCCCCCCCTAGAGCCTAATTTGCATAATAGAGTTGAAATGTGTTTTTAAAGTATTGCTACTATTGCTTCTTTAGTTTCCCACTAGTTGAAATTTGTCCTTTTATAGTCAATCAAAATTTAATGACAACAAAATAAATAAGTGCTGCTTTTTAATTTAATAAATCATTATATCTTGACACCAAAGGGGAGATTATCTTGAACCCTGCCCTCCATTGCAGTACTTTGCTGTCCCAATAAACAGACGATGGCACGCTGTCTTTTGGAAGGGACGTTTAAAACTTGTGTGACTAACTAATAGGACACGTTGGTTTATTTTGATGATAAATTGTGATGGTGATGTTGCTGCTAATGATCATGATAATGATAATTACGGTACTATTGCTGCTATTTTTATTATTGCCAAATGATCAATATTTTTTTCAGGCAGACTGGTTTCAAATCTGACATAGGATGGTGTTCTAGATCAGACGTGAAGGTAAACTTTGTAATCAACGAATTTCCTCATGACGCGAGTATGCTCTCCGATTTGACGTTTTTAATAGGACTGGTCTGTCAGTGTGCGAATCATTTAAGTCCCGAACAGCCCCTAAGGTATAGACGACGGAGAAATGCAATGCCGATGATTAAAATGCACCTTTGATACCGAATGGTTCAATAGTATAGTGATATACATTAATGACACGGAAACCTCTCGAAAATGCAATTAAAACATCGATAATTTTAGAGTTTTTGTTTAGAATGTTTGGAGGCATTTTAACCCAATTAATAAAAGTATAAAGTAATCTAAGTTGACTTGCTTTTTAATTTATAGTCTGCTAAACTTTTCTCCTCCTATCTCTTCAGGAGTAGGCCTAGTACGGTAGGCGTCTGTGAGTTCTATGTTGCTCAAGCCAGTATTCTTTTCCCAGGTGCCTTTTCTGACACATAACTTAGCTTCACTGATATTTTTTGTGAAGGGGCACCTGGAGAAGATGGATGTGTAGGAGTGCAGAAGGGTGAGGGGCGCTAACTTTAAGTGAGGAGGGGAGGATTAAGTAAAGGGCAGCAAGCTGTTAAAATAAGGTAATAAGAGTAACTGCTTTAGTGACGTGTATTTAAGCCGAGCTAATTAACTGGGTATTTTTTGGTGGGGGGAGGCATTTCTCTTATTATACTCCACTGCACTTCCCAGCAAGTAAATGTGATTAAAGCGTGCCCCTAAAATCAATATCAGTGGCCCGATTTATTTCGTTCATGCTACAAGTGTCGTCAATTCTACAATTCATGTGAGCCTATCAGTACGGGGCAAGTTTAAAGCGGTTCACTCCAACGAACTGTCAGTACGTACATGGCACTCGCGCCTACTTCTAAAGATAAAGGGTTAAAGATATTTTATTTATTTTCCTCAAATAATAACCATGACAGAAACGTGGCTGAATTCAGGTGTATGCAATGCGCGCTATGCTATGCCAGCATCCAAATATTAAAAGTATACCGTACCTCCTACTGTGTATGCGTCGACCCAGCAATATCTCACGAGAGCATTCACACCGAATCTGAATTTTCGGATAGGAAAGCTTACCGAAGTGATCAGAAAATCGGATCAGTGTGTTTGGAAATGAGGTCCGAATTTCGGTTCTGGTCAATAGCGATAAATAAAAACGATTAGTAAAAGGCAGACAGTATTATAATATTCATTTGTATTTTATACTTCGTTTTCGTTTCACAATTATAAGCTAACCAGAAATAGGCTTAATAGCACGACTCTCAGTTTTAAGTATATAATGACAATACCTTTAAACATGGTTTGTATCCTTATAATAAATACACCTACGGACTAATTTATCCACCTTTACAAGGCTTTCATTGCTTGGTTATTCGTCTATAAATCTAAAAATAGCTGACAGTTTCTAACATTATTATCTTACACATGAACCACAGCACTCTGTCCAGCTACTATACCGCGCTCTATCCATGTACATAGCAGACAATAAATCCCCATTTTATTAGTTTTGTCAATTTAAGTTGAATACTAAGAGCATATACATTTTTACTGCCGCGCGGTTCTATTATTCAATTAGCTGGTTATTTTAATTATTCCTAAAAGTAACCATACCCTTCATTTCTATATATACAAGCAAAGAGATAAAATAATCCATTTTTATATCAATATCTAGCTTAAATTAAAAAAAAATAAAAAATTTTTGGCACGGTATATTCATACACTTGTTCATTACTCGGTGCCTACCTTGGTCTACTCCACACTTAATACAGGCTAATACAGACTGTAAACTTAACTACAGTAGAACCCCTCCTTTGGGACACCCCTATTAAGGGGACACCTTTTCGGCCTCGAAACAAGGGAAAGTACATCTTTTAACGTTATGGCCAACCCTGGGGACACTTACTTTGGTCCCGAAGGTGTCCCTTTAATAGGGGCTCTACTGTATTTTCAAAAAATGGATTAGGTCACAGTAACTTTGAGATGAATCGATGCCCTACAAAAACGTCGCAACCTAGCAAATAATATGGCTCGATTGACAGCTGCCCGATCTCACAGTGGTGTATCCTAACGACCTGCGAGCACGTACGCGTACATACGAGCTGCTATCACAGCCAATTCAAGACGGTGATTTCAGGATATTTAATTTTCTAAATGTCATAAGCCTTCAACATTAATTAGGGCCTACTCAGTGTGCAACTAATAATAAAACCAATAATTTCAACCGAATATTTTCAATTGCGAGTCATTTTTAAATCTGTCTAACTTGCTGACGCAGTTTAATGATGGCATAAGTTTTCAATGATGGCATAAACGACTTTATAATTTACAAAAACCTTTATCATAATCAAAGTCGACGTCGAGCCTTTGCAGACTATCATTTGCGCCCTTGGCAAGTAATTATCGCACAAAAAATATAAGGCGCCAACTTTCTTCTTTATTTTTGGAAATCAATAATTGTAATGGAATGCCTAGAAATTCAAATCATGGGAATATCGTAAACGAGTCTGACATTATATATCTTATAGGCCTATTCCACATAATTATTACTTAATTGTTAAAAACAATGTGATCTACGGAGTAGTATTTATTGATGGTTTCCCGGTGTCTACGTTGGTTCTGTTGCGTATTCTCTTGTTATGACAAGATGCCTAGAAGACAGTGAATAAAAGAACGTTATAAACTTACAAGTATAACTGTTTACAGACGTACGCATGTGCAGTGAGTGCTGTGTGTGTATATTTGAACAGGTGACACTATACAAATGCTGTCTCTTATACACATCTAGATGTGTATAAGAGACAGGTGTATGCGTCGACCCAGCAATATCTCACGAGAGCATTCACACCGAATCTGAATTTTCGGATAGGAAAGCTTACCGAAGTGATCAGAAAATCGGATCAGTGTGTTTGGAAATGAGGTCCGAATTTCGGTTCTGGTCAATAGCGATAAATAAAAACGATTAGTAAAAGGCAGACAGTATTATAATATTCATTTGTATTTTATACTTCGTTTTCGTTTCACAATTATAAGCTAACCAGAAATAGGCTTAATAGCACGACTCTCAGTTTTAAGTATATAATGACAATACCTTTAAACATGGTATAAATTATTTTAGTCAAAATATGGTGCTACATTAAAATTAATTTACTAATACAAATCACATATATACATTCATGATGAATAATTTATGCAATGTATAATGATATTGTCATGAATATTCATATTCATATGACAAATAGTCAGTGTCAGCATAATCTACCTATAATTTAACTTTTTGCATAATGTATACAACTGCTGGTTCACAGCAAAATGTATCTAATGAACATTATGATAAAAGCAAATAAATCTATTTTGACACATTTCTGTCACATCCGCCAATCAATGTTGATAACGAAATTAATGACATCATATTTGATGTACTGAGTTTAAAGGTCAAACATTACATTAAACACTTGACATTGTGCAGTAGTTGGTGACTGTGTAATTAAACAAAATAAATGACAGGTGTCCAAGACAACTCTAGAAGCAATCTATACATCAACTAATCTATCAATAGTGTACAGAAGAGTAGCAGAAGGCAGCTAATATTTGTATTATCACAAACGACAGAAGAAAAAACATGTTATGAAGACAACTACTGTTAACGGCAGATGTTATAACACATCCAACATTGAAGGTGAACCTGGGAATGTGCAACTGGGAACAATCATGTTTGTTTGATCAATGGTTTGTGTTCTGACTCGCATTTAAAATATTTAAATTTTATTATTACTAATAATAATATTAAATTTTAAAATAATTATTAATAATAATTTTTATTTATTATTAATAATAATTTTTAAAATACTGTAACTATAAGGCAAAGAAATATCAAGGCTTAAAAATGTTATTACCAAATATTGGTATTGTATAACTTTACAATTAACTTAAAAAATTATAATAAGTGATTGTTGACAAAATTTTATAAAAACAATTTGCAAGTTAAAATTTTGTATTCCTTGTTTACTTTTAGTTAGGCAATAACGTAATTATCATTGCCAATCTATTTTTTTTTCAGTTGATATAAGTGTACATTTGTGGATCAATATTAGTAGCAGGTAATATAACCGTCAGGTGCGCATTTGGTTTCACATTCTTGTTATTACTACAGCAACTACAGAAGTAGAGTACCATGGTTGCCAAGTGTTATTATGTGCAACTTGCGGAGCTAGTTAACACACAGACGATTAGCAGGTGCGGTTTTCATAGCAAAAATGGTGGCACAGACTCACTGAACGGATTGTTGCCACGTCTCGTTGCAGTTGTCGGCGGTGGACCAGAAGCTGTGGTGAAAAGTAAATTGATATCAATTAACGGTTGACAGAAAGTTTCAACGTATAACAATTTTACATTACAAATAATAAATAATTAAAATTATTATAATTTCTATAAGTAACTAAATTTGTGTACATTTATAATAATTAATAACTATAATATTACTGTCATCATAATCATAATTATATTATTTTTAATGCCATAACATTCATAATTAAATTATTAAGTATCAGTACTGTATCAGGGTTTAAAAAAAAAAATATTATGACATATATTATGCATGGTATACCAATATTTTTTATGCATTATTTTCATTCTTAATTTATTAATGATTATTATTATTATATTTATGAATTGAATTGATATTATGATTATGATGATAATTTTACAATGACGATAATTTTTGATATTTTTTTATTATAAATTATTTAACTTAGTTGACTTTATTATTAATTCATTATATTTATTATTATTATATAAGTATTATATTTTCAACATATTGTTTTATTGCTGCTTGTAGTTACTGTTGCTGTTAATAATATTAAAGTTAAACACTGATTTCTAACTCATACAAAAACTTATAAACTTATGCTCACTGGTTTCTATGCCTAAACATTTCAGCCACTCGTCCATGCTTAACTTTGAGTTATTGTTGGCATCACAAAATAAGAGGAAGTTCCTTTTGCATTTTTTTCTTGCACTGAGCCCATCTATTTGAGATTTGATACCCTTCAGTTCTCGCTTGTCGATCGCATGATTGCTGTTGGTATCCATGTGAAGAAATTTCCATCTTCCGACTCTTTCTGTCACTGATCTGTTCTGATCTGTGGCTGTGGTTCTGTAAAAATCACCAATGGAAAAGTTACTAAAGCTGTTTTTAAACTGGATTAATTTTGATCAGTATGAAGGTTAAGTTTCCCTAGGTCAAATATTACCGGTGTTTGCACTTGGATTTAAATACTCATTGGATGTAAGATTAAAATTTTGCACATGCGTGTTCAGTCTAATCGTGGATACATTATGTAAAAAGTTCAGCATTTTACCTTCCCTGTGTCACTGCTCCAGATGGGTCACCCATCATTTCTGTGATCAGCATATCAATAACACTATTCAAAAACTTAGCCTGTTTGTTTCCAGTGCACCCTATGATAAATAATTGAAATATAATGATGAAAAAGATGGTTATTCAAATTCATGGTAAAATCGTGAGTGCTATAGATAGGTCCTAATGTTGTGAGGCTGCTACCTCTATGTGGAACTTGCACCAGGGGTGCTGTCTGTGGGTGGGCCAGATGGTCGGGGTGCTGTCTGTGGGTGGGCCAGATGGTCAAGGTCCAGCCTTCAGGAACATCTGAGCCGTCGGGTAGTTGTGGTAACATGTTGGAGGAAGGGGGGTGGAAATATTTAATCACTTTCTAGGACAGACATATCCGGCTTGGGAGTGCGTTTTTCCAACATTTAGAGGTGACATATCCTAAATTTTGTTCACCTCAGCCTTAATCATGGTGGGGTAAGGTGGGTGTGACTTATTCATCAGGGAACACCTGTCAAGGAAATACTTTACACCATCACTGACTCACACATTTAACCATTTGATGAAAACCTGACTACTTGAATTTCCAACTTCAACTTTATTTTAATAATCTTAAATGCAAATAAATACATAAACCAATATAGGAAGCAGTGGGAAAATAGTGAAACACTAAAAATAATCCACTTTTATTTATGTGAAAATATAGATCATAAAAAGTACAAGGTTGTCATTATACTTGACTGCAAATTATGAGTACACTCATACAGGGTGTATTAGGGGACACAACAACATTATTTATTCTCATAGACAACATACTCTTGGTAGTGTCCCAGTAAGCACTCATCTGTCAACTGGGGGAGGGGGGGGAAGCCACTGTAAAATCTTTCTGGGAAAAATGAAACATGGTGGGGCTGCATAGGTGTGGACTATAGTCCATCAGTGGGGGTGAAACATGGTGGGGCTGCGTAGGTGTGGACTATGGCCCATCAGTGGGGGTGAAACATGCCGGGCTTGTAGGTGTGGACTATGGCCTGTCAGTGGGGGAATGCTGAACCACTTGTAAGGGAGAAGCTGGCACCACCCTGTATGCCATTGATGGGAACATATTTAAAACTTGAAAAATTGTTTTCATTTATCTTTTGCTATATAAAATTTTATATGAGATAGGCTGGTATATAAGAATTCCCTGGCTTACTCTTGGGTAGTGTAGGAATCTCATTTATGTCTTGAAGTGGCTACTGCATTTCCCTGCTATTTTGTTACAAGTGAACCCTCTGGACGGGGACACCAATCCCTGTGGCAAGCACAAGTTGAACTAATAATTTTTTTAGTGAATGATTCTATATTTGCATCCAATCACTCTATCTTTAAGAATCAGTGTTTGATGGGTACATCTGTATCATTAACATCGCCATACAATATAAACAAAAGGATAAAACTGAAAAAGAAATATGTATAGAGTAAGAGGAAAGCTATAACATGATAATTTTAATGATAATGATGATGACAATAATAATAATGATGATAATAATAATAGTAATAATAATAATAATAATAATAATGTTTTTGCATTGGTCATAAGTACAATTACTCTCATGAAAATCTATCAAATTGATCTCCTAAACCACTTCCCATAAAAATTTCTCCACCGCTAGTTTGCCATGTGTACTTTATTAGAATAATTAAAATTCCAATCATTAAACCATTAAATCCAAGAAATTATTTTATGACAGTTGACTGTAACCTTTCAGAGGTCATGTAATTGACCATGGCCCTTAATCATTCCTCTTAAAATTATATAAGTCATAAAAGAAAAAAAAATCAATGTTGAAATTAAATTAAGATGTCAAACATTCTGCATTCTAAACTTATCTATATCAAAAAAATCGCATCACAAGTCTAATTTTTTGGCTCCTAATACCACCTTCAATAACCTTGACTATCCTTATCAATTTATGCACTACCTACCCTGTCCTATATCTAAAATACCTGCATTAATACTGCTGACTTTCCTTTATATTTATTCCCTGGTCCTCACTAATTGTTAATCGTTTCTCTCCTTCACCTTCAATAACTTTATAACCTTCTACAGAATATATACACTTTCCTCCCCTAATCCTTATTCTCTACCTTTCCCTAAATATTACCACAACACTCACAATTATTCTATTCCTCACATTATCTTTACACCCTACTCCTAAATTATCTTTACTTCAATCTTGTACCTTATTTTTATGTGCTATCCTTCTTTTTTTCATTACTCCACTCTCCCTTAATCTTTACTCATTTCCCCAATCTAATCTTTACTCATTAACCAGCCAAACTTATTCTCTACTTTATAATCTTCACTCCACTATCCTCACCAATTCTCTTACTCCTGTAATTTAAAAATCAAATCAAATAGAAGACAGAAATATAATTATAATTATCACTATCATTATTATTATTGTATTTCCTAGGTCCAAAATATTTATTTTTATTGCCTAGTAGTAGTAGTGTTGCCACTGTAAAAATGGGAAACAAATACTGGTATATTTATTCCTTCAGCTACCAACCAAAATAAAATTCTATCTTTAAATTTTCAGCCTTCTTAAAGGTCTTGAAACAAGGTTTTCTTTTTGCCTTGGAGAGTTTTCATTAAATAGTAAAAGTGATAAAATTTGCTAGAATCCTGGGATACGAAGACAAACTCATGATAAAATCACAGAGGGCACTATGTATCCATACCTGAATTTCTGACACACGGCACTTGACAAGTATCATAACTTTGTATCTAGTTAACCATCTGTTTTAAAGTTTCAATATTAAATACGACTATGACTTGTTATTGGCATGATTGGCATTTGACATGTATGTATCACCAAAGAGTAAGACTGATTTTCCAGTGTCCGTATCGTTAGTATTTCTGTTAAACTTCGACCACCTGGCAAAGTCAGTTGGATTGGCCATAATTTGGGGATATTATTTAACATAATATTATTAAAGAAATTGGTAATTGTTGATTTGACTAAATGAATTTAATGTACCTATGTCAAGTATGCAGTGATGCTGTAGGAAACTATGAATGCCAAAGTGTGATTCTCAACATTAACAGTAACAGGTGTTGAAAAAAAATCTTGAAAATTTTAAACATTCTTTTGAAGCTTAAGGGAGTGTCTTTTGCTGATTTATCTTGTATAGTGATAAAACTGACTACTTCTCTGACAGTGGTGGCTATAAAATGTATGTAAAGTTGCGGGGGTGAGGGGGGGGGGAGTTTCCAGCAGAGGCCAGCAGAGTGCTGGTGCAAAGCCCTGGTGTGGCCCCATGGCTGCTTCTAGATATTAGGCTATTGAAGAATATATTATGTATAATGGGGGAGCGGGGTCACATTTTATATGTAAAAATTAGCTCATTATTTCATCATTAAAAACTGCTGCCAGCCTGTAACAAGGTTAATTTTCCATCATACAGACTACAGGTATGTTAAGAAAAAGATATAATCTGGAAGCAGTTGTCGCAACTTTTGTGGCTTGGACTCTCAGACTTGAGGTCGGGGGTTGGAAACCCTCGCTGTGCACAGTCTTTTGTCCTTGGACAAGCATTTTATCTACGGTTGTCTCTCTCCAGTAAGTGGGTATTTGGTAACAGACATGGACCCAGTAGGGGCACGGGGTCACGTCCCCCTCAGTTTTTGCCACTTAATTTTAAAATTTTAATGCATTTCAATATTATGTATTGAAATAAGATTTACTCGCTTATCTATTCTGAAAATATTCAATCAAAACGCTTATTTTCAATGAAACATGGTCAGTCTCAAGTCAGGTCAGAGTTTTCATTCTAATCGCACCCTGGGCTTATGCCCAAGAAAATACTGGTAAATGAATTAAGAAGTAAAACAGGGGTGGGCTTCTACTAGAGAAATATGGTAATATTTTTAATAGATTTTTATTGAACCATCTTTAGACAACTCCTTCACATTATCTTTATAGTAAATGTCACTCTCTCAAAAGAAGGTATAATTAGTAAATACTAATACAAATAAAAATTAAAGTAATAATGAACAAAAAAAAACAAAATAAAAAATGAATAAAATGGGAAAAATATCCAATAACTAAAAAAATTACATGTGTCCTGATCGACCTCCATTATTATAGTGAACAACTCTAACAACTTATGTTACAAGTACAGAAATCAACAATTTCTATTTTAAGAACGTAGCTAAATTGCCCCCTATTACAATTACAAAAAACAATTTCGTGCATATTAAGTAAATTCAAATCCCATGACTTGTCTTCGACCTTTCAAAAACCATTACTGAAAATGTCAAGACCATTATATCACTTTTGGTAATTAATAATCAAATAATGCCATAAATCTTGTTTTGAAAGTTCCATGGAAAATTTAATTTCAGACGGCATTTCCAGGGTTTTCCTTGATTGTGTGGAATCTGTGTGAAAATACTAATTCATTTTGGAATAAACATAATCACTTTTTATATCAGAAACATTTTTGGAAATGTAGTACAATAGTTACAGCAATAATTCAAGAGTACCATCTTAAAATTGGGAATTTATTCAATATCTCAACTTTATACAAATATAAATGTAAAATCCTTAATCCTGCTTGTTATAACATTTACCTCCTCCAATGAAGATCCTTTTTGTTCTGTAATCTGTTTGGTGTTAAAAGGACCCCATTGGAAGTACTGTAAGTCATTACCTGACTTTATGGGTCATCCTTGGCTTGAGGTTGTTTTGTCTTGTCGTTTGTTGCTTCCAATTTTATGAGTGAAGTTTATTAATGTTTTAATATGTAATGTCCCACTTTTTGCATTTTGATCTTAAATGATTTTCATGTATTTAAATTTTGTTTGTGTTGTATAAAAGCAGAATAAATCAAATCAAATCAAAAACAGAAAAATAAAACATTTAAAAAAAAAACCAAATGGAGATATTGGGATAACCCTCTCCTATTCTATTAAAGTCAGGCTCCGGAGGAAAAGAAAATTTTGATATGTTGTAGAACTGATTTTTCTAAGACAAAAAATTGTTCGGCGAATGAAGGAATGAGCTGTAAGAGCGAGCCTGTTGGTTCTTTTCTGTATTTTATGTGAGAAGTTTATTAAATAGAACAAATTATTTAATTTTAATTAAATAAACATACAAACACAAAAAACAATAGGTAGCAAAAGATTTAATTAACCAATCAGTAATCAAAGCTTCTTGGATCTCTTGATAGGATCAATGTATTAATAATATAATTATTACCTTTAAAAACTGGTGGAGCTGGTGTTGAAACAACTTTACTTGTACTGATCTCGGGCTTTAAATTATGGTTACAGTTCAGTGATGACTTGAATCCAGTGAGAGAAACGTCAACCTTCTTGGATGTCCCGATGATTGGCCGTCCAGTTGTGATGTTAACGCACCAGCAGTATTTGGCTTCCTCGTGACATTGAACTGGATGGTAGTTGCTACCTTCACATTGTGGGATAAACACGCCACTCCCGGGGTCCTGTTGCGCTTTGTCCAAGGCTTCCGCTCTTTCAACAGTACACTCGTTCGTTGCTAGAGATAGACAGTTAAAAACAGTAGTCATATTAAATTTTTGTGTGCAAACTCATATCTGTTTTCAATTATCATAGTTTATTATAAAAAAAACAAAACAAATAGAATGGATTTTAACTACATGAGTGTAATTCATATGCTCAGTAAATTTTCAGTGGGAGACATCTGGGATTGCAAGATTTTCACTCAATACGTCCTCCCATAGATATGCCAATGATAATAATCGCTGTTGTATACCAATTATTACAACTGTACTACTTGTAATCTCACATAATAGGCCACCAGTATATCACCATCACAAATATCAAGGACAGTAAAAGATATCAAAGCGGTATCAATGGTTATCAATAGAGTATCAAAAGGCTATCAAGGAAGTTATTAATAGGTATCTTGGAAAGCCTCAATACTGTTGGTAGGGTATCAAGGAAGTTACCAGGGTAGCCAATTATAGCATCGGGGTAAACCCCCTCTCTTCCGAAACATGAGTTCAGTGCACAAAAGCCAATAGGAAGCTTTTGATTGCACAACAACGGTAGGACCTAGAACGTAATGACATCACTAAGAAGTATACTATCTGTACATGTAAGAACATTGCGTTCTCTCATTAACGTTCAGTCCTAGTTGTTGTCTGGATTCTAGGATGCAGTTTGGCATGACTCTATGCTGTGCAGAGAAAGCATAATGTTTATGGATAAGCAAGTCTGTTCTAGGATCATGTCGTCACACAAATTGAAGGCTCCCTAATAACAGCTATCACAAAAAGCTTTTTTCCTGTTATTAATGCAATACAATTGATTTCAAACTCTTATTACTGTAATTTAATTGCAAAGCAATTCCTATATCCTGCATGTTTTATTCCAAAACCCAAGAGTTGACATCAAACATTCTAACCTGTCAGAACTGTCAATGTTTAGAATGGCATTTAGAGAAAAAAAAAAAAACCAGCTGATGAATACAATAACAATGTGAAACAATGCACCAGGCAGAGAATTAATATAATTATTATGAATTATTATTATCATTCAATATGATTTACTATTGCATTGACATACAGTACGCATGGCCATCAGGTATAGTTGTTAGTTTAAATTACCTGTGACTGTAATGCTTCAAATGTTTACAATTGTATTGAATGCAAAAAATATCTTTAAGAAAAAATAATTTTCTAATGTAAAGGTTTTAGTTAATTAGCAAGTATAAAATTAAGCATTATTATGTAAGATTTACTACTGTATGGCACGTGTGATATAGGCAGTATTAATTAATTAATTCATTCATTTATTCATTCATTCAATCAGTCAATCAATTAATCAACATATTATTTATTTATTCATTCATTCATCCAATCAATCATTTTCCAATTCAATTCATTCGTTCAACCAACTAATCAATCAATCAACCATACCTACCAGACAATCAATCAGTCGATCATTCAGTCACTCACTTATTCATTCACTTATTCTTGCATTCAACCAACCAAACAATCAATCAATCAATCAATCAATCAATCAATCAATCAATCAATCAATCAGCCATTCATTCATTCACTCCATCCTTCTTCAATTCACTTAATCATATAAATATTGCACCTTCATTTGTTTGTTGACTCATGTATTACTAAAAATATGTTATATCGACGGTCATTGCGGACTTATAAAATCCACATACGTTATAAAACTAAAAGAAAATGCATACTTTTGGAGTCCGTACTGAGCCCAAAAAATCCGCAATGAAAATATAATGTGTTCAAATGTATTTACTTATTTTGTATTTTTGTGGTTACCCCTAATGTCAATGCTGAATTAAAGGAGCCTTCAGGCATAAAATAAGAGAGTAATTTTGAAATGTTCTTTTTTTTTCTCATCTAAGACAAGACCAAGTATATTCTTTTAGTTTACTATATTTAAGTACACTCTTAGAGACTAATACAAAATGGAGTTGTTTTTATGTTTAAATCATAGGGTTTGAACCCAGGAGCCTAGGATTGAAAGAAAACATCTTTACCTCCAAACAGCTCCAATACAGTATAAACTACATTGAACAATATAAACATAATAAACAACACAATAATAATCACTCAGTCTGATAAATTGTGAGTCAAAAATAATAATAATAATAATAATTTTGGCTTATATAGCGCATTATGCTAAAGCCTAAATGCGCTTAACAGTAAAAATAAAATTCGGGGAAAAAAATTAAGAAAAAAAAATTAAGAAAAAAAAAAAAAAAATGAAAATCCATAATAATAATAATGAAAAGGAGTCTTTAAAAAATGTGAAGATACTATCATAATTGAAAAATTCACTTAATTCTAGTGGTTTGAAGATCAGAAATCAAAGTCACTTGTGACGATGACCTATTCTCAATTAGAAATGTCTACATATATTTTAAATGTCTACATATATTTTATCGAATTCATTTTTCAAGACTCATCCTCATCCACAATTTCAAAGTCTATTCAATATGAAAATTTGAAATACCAGTATATACTTATCTATATTATTTTTTTTAAAGGATTTCCTTTTTACTTTAAAAGTAGCGGTAATTGCTATAGCTACTCAATACAGTATCTTTAATGGCATGCTGATGTGTTTTATGCTGGAAGGCTAGATAGAGCAAACCAGAATGAAATTAAGAAAATGCAAGTAGAGGCTGCATTGACTTGAGGCACCCTCGAGTCTCGACTCTTGTCTGTTGAGCTTGCAACTTGAACCCAGTGTGTAAGATTATAAACCTTCGTTCAATTGAAATTCAAGCAACTTGTCTTAATAATGGGTCATTTGATTAATTAGTTTTTAAGTCCAGATGCAAGCAAATGTAAGTTTATAGATAATAAGTATTATCAGTAGATACAGTAGGTCTGCTGCAAAGCATTATGTGGCCCAAGTAAGACATTTTCTAGAGGGGTCCAGGAGGTAAATGCTTTCAGAAATGAATGAGGTGATCTTGCTTCAGCAGAGGCCAGAGGAAAAATTGCTGTTATGCTCAAAATACCAGGGGCCACATGGATTGATGTATATAAATTCAGTAGACCCTGGTTGAAATATCCTTAAATGGGCACAGGATAGATGATCTTCAGTTGGACTGAGAGATTTGCAACAAATTTTGTCAGCAGGCAGAGAACTCTACCTTTCAATAGGCCCAGGGTAAACATACATAAATGTACAGTTGAAAATGTTTCAATTACAGTAACCAGAAGAACATTCTTCGGTGTGCACTTTCAAAGCTAACATCAAAACGTTACTTTTTAAGGGAACATCTAGCATTCAGTCAAAAGCACATTTGATTTTAACATTGTTTTATAATTTGCGCTATATAAATTCTCAATTATTATTATCATTATTGTGTTGTGTGTGTATGGGAAGAGAGGCTCAACTTGGTCTATATATCTAAAACTGTTCTCACCCACACAAGATTACAAATCAAATAAGGTAGACCTATTAATATGATTCACAAGTCACTGAGAGGTTAAGAGTTGAAATACATCTAGTGTAAAGAGTTTGAAATCTAACTAAAGCAATTATGGAAATTCATCTACTAATTCATTTCTGTTGAATGCCTTTGATTTTAAAAAGGTCATCATATAAAAAAAATGAAATTAAAATTTATGAGAAATTTTACAACCATGCTAAATATATGCTTAGGTGAGATGATTGGACATATGGAAAGCATGAAAATCAGAATATTAAAGATACACTATAGGTGGTAAAATCTGTGAAAAACTTCAAATATTCATTATAAAAAAATATTTGCACATTTAAAAGGACCAAAAAAGTTAATAACTTCAAATCAGATTGACACAATTCATCTTTCTACTCATTTACAAACTTCTACTACAAAACCCTTAAATCGATTACCAGCCAATTTAAATTAATAAATTTAGTTTGTATATATTATATTTTTGAGATATGGTATTAAATGTGTAAAAAAATATAATCAAATTTACAATAATTTATCTCTTACTGAGGTATTTTTTTAATGACATCTCCAATTTTTTAAAATCAAAATACAGTAGGCCTATTTCAAGAGCAAGATGGGAATGAAGATGTACATCAATGAAAAATAAGAAAACAAGTTGAATATGTGGTACATCATCAATAATGTAAAAACAACCAGTTGTCTCCTTTTAAGAAAAGCGTTCCATTTTTTCAGATACTGTATGCTGTTAACCCAAATCTGATGTACACCAGCCAATAGATGAGTAAGAAAAATGACCCCTAAAATAACAAATGCTATTCCAATGATTAAGTAAGATACAAAGCTTAACATAAGATATTATGTATATACAAAAGTAGGTGACTGCAAAATAATGGGTAGGAATGTGAAGCAAATTGTTTTTTTTTCCTTGGTAAAACAAAACTAAATGGGTTGGTACTTAAAGTCAACAACTTACATGTGACTGGAGACTTCTTAGATGGCTCTGCAATGGATATATCTAATGCAACAAAGACAAAAATATAACCTTTTTATGAACCTTATGTTTATTCATGATGATGGTGTTTACTGTGGTACATGAGTTTCCCTGCTTTCCCACAGAATACAAGACACAGAACCTGATGGTTAAACCTGTAGACAAGCATACATAGAAACCAAGCACCTCTTCAATACACACCACCCCTTGATGCTGTAGAGAAGTCTGAGTGAAATCACATTGTACCCAAGTAAGGCCAAATGAAAAAAAAATCATGTTTTTTTTTTTTTTTAAAGAGGATGAGGATATTTTTAGTTATTTTACAGACATAATCACCACACATAGGCGTCGATCTGGTTCCACCTGAGCTAAAGCCCAATATTCATTTTAATAGGCTTATAAGCCTGCTAGTAATAAGGCACATCGCTCATAAGATCTGATAGTCAGAATTCTGTTTAAATGTTTTACTATAGTCATAGAGCTTGTCATGTAAACAAGTTTGCTGCCACAGTCAGCAGACATTAATATTAATAGATAACCAAAATATCTCAACAAAAATATTTTCATTGGTATGGTACAGTATTAAATTTTATTTGATATATAAAATATCTTAATATTAGAAATAAAATTATTACATGAGTATTAAGATATTCTATAATCAATAATAATAATAATCTAGGCTCAAATTTATTTTTTCATCAGGAGATAAAAATATAAGAAAATTTGTTTAAAGTCATTGAGTGTAAGAAGACACCAAATTTAAGAACACATGCTATAATATAATCTTTTTCATGTTTGATGCATTAAACCTTGTCCAAACCAAGATGCTATGATATACATAACAGTATACTGTAGTAGCAAAGCACTGTATAGTCAGAATATTATATAAGGATGTTTTAGCATGCACTAGTACTATGTTTACCATGCATGTTAGTTGCCAATCAGTAACATATATAATAATTACCATGTACTACCAAAGCATACTTTACCTGTATGGGAAATTTTGTAAAATCATATCTATACAAAATAAAAAGCATTATGCTCACATACTGTAGTTTATATTTAGATTGGCACTGTGGTTAGATGGTTAAAGTGCCAATCTTACTCTTAAGGTCCTGGGTTACTGGATATACCAGGATACATTTTCCTAATGTTTAAGTAAACAACCTCCGCACATAATACTTATATTAATAGAACACTATTTATATGTATCTTGTATTATTAGCCAGCTACCTGTTATACTATGAAACTGCAAAAAAAAATTGGTAAAACTTATACCAGCCACCAAAACAGTGACTTCTCCTAATCTGAAGACAATAGCCAGTTGGTAACATCATTACTCAAGTTACATACATTTTGAAATGCCTTTGCCCTGTATGGCGAAGACCGGAGTATAAGATCAGGTTCACAGCGACTACCCACTGAGCCTTTCAAAGCGAGAGAATATAGATCTAGGTGGCAAGATGAAATCAATACAGAAAAGTCTCTGCAAGACTAAGAGGAACCTCTCTCCATGCAGCCAGGTTAAGTGAAGTCAATCGGATTTGTACAGCTTCTGATTATGTCTGTTAATTTCACTTGTCAGCTGAGGCCTGTCACCTCTTGTTAGAAACTCAGTGACAACAGTTGCTAGTTACAATTTTAAAGTAACTTTTCTGAACTGTGTAGGTCACCAACGGATGGTATTCTTCACACGGTGTATCATGTATTTATATGCAAACATGATCAACTCATTTAAAAGATGCTATATATAATTTTAAATTAATTTTTCAGAGCCACGTGGGTCACCAACGGATAGTAGACTTTTAAACACCCATAGCGCAGTGTTTCTACATTTAAAAAAAACAATATGTTTTGTCTGAAGTGTACAAGATATATATTTTTTTTATGGGATTTATTTCATTATCAACTAATTTATACTGCAAACTTTTAGGAAAGTTTAGGACACATTGCAGGCTGTATATTATGATTGTAGTGGTGCTGGCAGGGGTAAAAGATTTCTAACACCATCCCAAGCAAACAAGCATGGACTCCCTACTGTCTGACAAGACGGTAGGGTCGTCGGACTGCAAAATAAAAACGAATAGGCCTGAGCTCATTGTTGTACTGCCTACATTTGTACCAAATGATTGAAAGACATTGCAGCACCTAATATAAGAATATGAAACGCTTCCTTACATTATGGACTAAATTACATAATGGAATACTAGTATCAAAATTTGTGTTGGCCTTAACACTGCTGTGGTGCAGAAAAATTCACATTCTGATATCTTGATATATCTTCCAATTACCGTAAATCCTTGAATAAGTTCTGCAGCATTTTGGAGGCTTTAGTGTTGCGCTTATTTGAGAGCAGCGCTTATAAAAAAAAATATTGGTGTGGCGCCTTCCACGCCTGTTCCCATGTTACCTATCTCACATACTCCCGTAGGCCCTACATCATCGTAAATAAACGTTTATAAAGATATGCTTGTGTCTCCATTATTCATTTGAATACTGTACACATTGTAATTAAAACCCTGTTTCATTACACATAGGGCAATATGTACTCTTGATTAGGCACCAGAGCGATGCGCTTAGCAAAAAACATCACGTTTGGTGCGGCGCTTATTTGAGACTGGCGCATATTCGAGAGCAGGGCTTATTCAAGGATTTACAGTATAGCCTTTTATGGTTTAATAAATGAGATTAGTTGAGACAAAGACTGACTAATGTGTAATATTTTGAACCTCAAATAATACTGGTTTGATTCTCAGTTTGAGATGGACATTTCATAGATTTCTCTCTGATTTTATTCCTCTGGAAAATGAACTTTGTTTTTTTAAGGTGTCAAGAGAGGTCTCTTTACAAAAGTAGAAGGAAATACAAACATTCCTTTAGACAACTGCTGCAACAGATATACTATTATTAGTCCATTAGTCAACAAAATGTTTGTGGGTTTGTACAGAGATTTTCTTTCTGTTTTACAAATAAATATTAACTGTGTATTGTTAAATAAGAGACAAAAATAACACTATAGTGGTTTTTCATGATTCATGTTTTTTTCCACGAGTCCTGAAATTCCACCACCACTACCATATAGATACTACTGTTGTCACTAATACCATTGAAGTATTATACCTACATGCTACTGAAATGCTACATTAAATATACATTCACTGTTTTATATACAAATATATACAGTACTACAAAGCCATTCTATAAACATCTATTACGTCTATGCCATGGCTAGGTTCAAAATTCAAAGATTCTAAAACTGATAATCTTCAATAACTTTGTTCATTTCGAATGTAATTAGATAATAAACAGAATTAGGTAATTAGTAATAATTTCAGAGCTTGGAACTTTATTAAATGTAATTTGTAACAAAATATAAATTTTAAAGACATATAATATCAATAAATATGATTTAATGCCCAATATTTGGTATGTAAATAAACAAATAGAAAAAAAAAACTTTTCAAAATCTAAAATCTACAAATATAACATCACCAAAAACAAAAAGAAAGAAAAAGGGGGAAAAGTAACGTACCGGTATGTGAGTTTACCTCCTCAGAACGTGGCTGGTCACAACACTCCACTTCTACTGTGTTGATTAACAAAAAGAAACGTAAACATACTTCATCGGATTTTGATTGGGATTTCATCCACTAATAAAACCTTCAAAATTTCAATCATACTTATCTAATTATCAATTTCTAAGATGACACAAATTTAAATTAGAGTGGTTGTTTGTTTTAGACATCTTACTACGAAAATGCTTAAATGATTATCAGCGGATTCAACAATCTATGCAAAGAAAATAAGAACAGTCTTTAAGACTTAATAAGCCAACCCAGAATCTCAAAAAGTTAGGGTCAGCCCCTGTTTTTTTTTTTGGCAAAAATGTATTTTTTACTAAGAAGGACCCAAAAATACTTGTATGAAAAATATTGAAAGCTACAGTGCAAGTTGATTAGCTCAAAATTAAGTTGATATTGCTTTCCCACAGTTTCTGCTGCATCCACATATCTCAGCCATCACATTTACAAAGGCTGTTTATATATTTACCAAACATACAGCTTTCACTTGTTTTTATAGCGCATAGAGACTTTTTGTATTTTGCAATTAACAAATTCAAAACCATTAAGCCATTTCAAATACCAACACTAGAAACACGCTTACATTTGTGCCATTTTTAACTTAAAAAGAAGTTAATTTTAACTTATAAAGAAGTTATTGAGTTGTTTGTTTATTTATTTAATATTGGATCCAGATGAATTTGTTTTTTCAATAAAGTTATGTTACACATACTTGTTCCATTATATCTGGTTTAAGTGGATTTTACAACTAAGTACTTAGCTTCAAGACCACACACTAAATAAGAAATGGTAAAGAAGGCTTTGACAATCTGATTTTGTTTTAGTTGCACCAGAATACTTTTGGAAATGGGAAACCTCTGGATGGGATCCTAGGTCTAATAAGCGATTAATCTTCGTGCATTATTGTCCAGGTGCCAGACAGGTTAGGTGAATTTTAATGTGTCAGATGTAGAGACAAAACATGCCCTTTAAAGCAACATCACATGGCCTAAGTAATAAAATGCGCTTAAAGAGCTTACAAGTATGTACTCATGAGGTATAAAAGGATTTAAGAATTCAAGGTGCAGTACAGAGGGTAGAGTTGAACTTCTTTAGTTACAGTAGAAATGAAAAAAAAAAAATATTAAACTACATTGAATTACAATTGTTGAATTACTATTATGAATATATTGTGCTTATAAGCAAATTAATAATCAGAAATTTGGATACCAATATGATGATGTTGATGATGATGATGATGATATCATTATGATGATGATGATGAGTATTATGAAAAATAAATGCCACATAAGCATGATATATGATGTATAAACTACATAGCATTAAATAAAATGCCCTAAATGAATAAAGAATGAACTGACAAACCTCATTAGTGGAAGTATACAAATAATTATTACAAAAGCTGTATGAAATGTTAGAAAGGAATACAAAATTAATTTAAAACACCAAGAACCCACGAAAGTCTTAAGACTTATTATTTCCAGTGGGAGAGAGATGATTCTCGCTCTTTTCACAAGAGGTACAACATTTTTAAGGTGCACATGGGCCATATTGCACCATAGGATGTGCCACGGGGAGGGCATGACCCCCCCCCCCCCATTGCACTTATTATTTTAAGTATTCTATTGTTTGCTGGTCTTGTTTAGTGTTAAAAGAACACGGTGTCAGATTTTGAATTAATGGATACATTTATGAAGCAAGTTGAATATATATTAAATACATATATCTTTCTTAAATAAAAATACTGTATAGTTAAAAATGACTGTTTTGCAAACAAGATGGAATATAAAAGGGTTCAGAAATGTTTAAATGAAGATACACCACCTGAGATGTCTTGAGGTTCTGGTAAAAGCTTTGACCCTGATGGGGAAGGGGACAGCATCCAAAAAGCCTTTTCAATCATACCTAGGAATGAACTGGAAATGATTAATACAAATATCCTGCAACTGACACTATTAAAATTAATTATAACAAATATACTATAATAACATTGTTTAATATTTTCACCTTAATAGTACTCTAATAGTAATACATTCCAAAACTTTGAAATTAAACATGAGAGTGAAAATAATGATTATGATGATTATGGTAATGGTGATGATGATAATGATGATGGTGGTGGTCAGGATGATGGCAATAATGATGATGCTAATAATGATGAAGTATAGCAATTATAATGGTGATGATAATGATGATGGTATAAATTGTGATGGTGATGATAATGATGATAGTATTAATCGTGATGGTGATGATAATGATGATGGTATTAATCGTGATGGTGATGATATGTGGTGATGATGATAGTGATAATGATGTTGGTTTATGTCTGCAACAGTGATGATAATGATGTTGATAAAACCACAATAATTATTAATAATAAGCAAATATATCAAATATTGATAAAATATGTTTACATTTCCTAAAAGAAAAAATACTATAACCATCCTAACTAAAATTATTGTAATAGACAAAGATCACTTCAAAGTTTTTCCTATTAATTTTACCGCAAATTTATATTACCAGAAAATTTTAGGAACCATTAGATTTACATTATTATTTATGTTAAATACACAAGAAAATTAGTATGGAATGTTAATGATGAGTTAATTAAATTATTTCCATGCCGATGCATTATATTTTCCCATAATAGAATGATCTTTACATCAGTGGTAAATGGACACCAAATATCAGATAGTTTATTTCTTATGGTGTGCTATCATTCTGCAAACCAATCAACCTCTCTGCATGAAAAGTTAATCTAATTGTTTACATTCATTTGACTCAATAAACACACAAAAAAAAATCATAAATGCAAATTATCGTTGTGTAACGGTTATTAAACCGGTGACGTGACCGGGATACCGCGGAAGTAGGTCTGTCAGTTTGCCAAGGAGTATTCCACGAAGTGCATGGCCACATCCTGACAAGGAAAAGTGTATTTTGTCAATCAAACTACATCAAAGACTGACTTATTAAATGACAAGACTACAGAACATGCTCAGAAGGAAAAAAAATACACAGACATAAGACAATACAAACACGACCACCATTAGTATGTACAAGTTAAAGTCAATTACCGACATTGAATCCGGTAATTTGTATGATTTGGAATCCATTCTTAACCAGACAGCGAACACTCTAGTGCTTAGTTGACTTGAGGGAAACTGGCAAAATTAGCTATAACATCTTGTGATTTAACAATAACTGATGCTCATGCATTAATCTAGATGCAATAACTTACTCGTCGCCAGACCCAGACACTCGGACCAAGCTTTCCTTGTGATCTGCCAGCCTCACAGACTCAATTCCAACCTCATGGTTTGAAGCACAAAGCAGTGCGTAACAGTGTGTGGACGAGGAGTGCATTTGCCCCAAAAAGCTTGTCCCTCGAGGTTCCTCCAATTTTAATTATACTCCTGTAGTAATAATAAACTCATACCACCATTCCTAGCTACTCTCTTTATTTAATCCTTAATTTTCGAGCCCCAATCAGCACCCTTGTTTCACCCTCACACACCCGCCACCCCCATGTCAACACTTTAAACTGCTGGCCCAGTTCTTTAACGCTGCAACATGTGCCCTTGATAAATAACTAGCTAGGAATGTTCTCTTGTGCATGTTTCAGAAATGTAATAATAAACTCTTTTTTCTACAATGGAAGCTCATTTACCAAGGCGTTTTTTAAGAGGCAAATAACATATTGAAAAAAAAAAAGAAATGTATTATCCTTATTGGTCTGAATATACTGGATGTGCACTTACCAAATTCTGTTGTGTCTTCAAGTAGGTACCAGCATGGCTTTGTTATAAAGTCATTTTCTGTCGGATCTGTCAAAGTAAGTCTACTTGTCATTTGTTTTGTCTTCTCCGTGCCTCATGTATATGTGTGTGACTTTTCTCGCTTTGCCTCAGGGAATATGTGAACGGGAATAAGCTTTTGCATTCGCTTTCCCCAGGTTGGAAAAGCACTGTCCAATCGATCAAACAGTAAAACCAACAAAAACAAAAACAAAAAAAGACTTTGGTTTGGCATTCATGGCTAATGTACCTTGACATAGGTCACTGCACAACCAGCCCAGATACGTTTGTTGTGATGGTAAATGTGTAGGGGATTAATCAATGGACACAGGCGACTGCTTCTTGACAATTTACTTGTGAGGAGCATCAGAAATGTCTACATACGTCCGGTAAGGAAACTCTCTTACAGCCTCTCTATTATAGCCTATTGTACATTGAGAATGTGAAACAGCGTTTATGCTTTTATACATGATCGCAATGGAGCCTGAACAGAATGAATGCGAGAACTTAATGCAGTGCATCTCACACTGTCACCTGTAATTAGTACTCAGTTTTAAATCCACAGTGTTTTTGCTACATACATTACAATAAATTGACAGTGAAAGGCACAAAGATGTCACAAAAACCCGCTCTTCAGGCTAACACCAAGAACCTGTTTAGTCCCCAGACCTTTCTGAGTAAGTCCACCGTTGTTGATTTTCACGAGTCTTCAATGATGCCTTAAGTTGGTGGTTAAAGTACTCCTCCAATAATTTCACAATGTAAGTGGGTAAGATGTACCCACCAAACACAAATGTTGTTTATAACATTTGCTGACATTGTGAAGGTGGTGGTTAGGTTGTGAAAAATAGTTACACAAGACTGCAGCAATGTTTCTGGTACTATCTGGCTTGAAATTACATTATAAATGTTACAGAAAAAGTATTTTTTAAGTCAAACTTAAAATTATCAGCTGGGTAGTGTATCTGTTTGGTTCTAACAAACCAACCAAGTACTGTACTTGAATAAGCCAGACTCAAACTAAGTGATCAAACTAGCTGTGATCAGTGACAGTCGTTGACGGAGCACATAAAATCGCAAGCATCTTGTACTGGTAACAAACACTTTCATTCCATTTTCTGCTATAATGTCAATACTTTGTATAGCCTCTGACCACTCTGTGGAAAACCTGTCAATGCATGTTATTAGAAAGTGTAATAATAATAATGGTCATTTATAGCTCTTTTTTTCATTACAAAGTACTTTAACTATAAATTGATATAGATGTTCCCAAAGTGGACTTCAAGAGAAGAAAGTGTCCCCAAAGGGGCAACAATGTGACGACAACCCGACTTTTTGACACATAATACTGCACTTAGCGTAAGCACACATATTGCAGCTCCTTATTACCAGAAAAGATGATTTAAGTTTGTGCAGATGCATGACAATAAATTGAATTAGTGAAAAACAGCTTGACGCATACTTTTTGGCACAAATGGTTGTGAACATCAAGGTTTACATCTCATGCAATAGTTCCAACTTGTAGCAAACGGAACAAGTATTTTTTTAATTCAAATTCAGCCTAACATTGAACATACATTGAACATAAATTTAAACAAACACGTAGAAAATACATGTGCAAAGTTAGTCAACCATATTGTACAAATAAACACGCAACAATTAAACCAAAATTAATTTTACAATCTAGGAATACAACAGTACCAGAACATAAAAATGACCAACTATAAAGATTTTCTTCAACTTGAAAAAAGTGCACTTTATGGAGATTATTGAATTATTGTATAAAAAAGCACTTCCTATTGAAGTTTGGTAGGTTGTTCCACAGATGATTTGCATACAGATTCTTAGACAAACCACCAAGTTCCCGGACTTGCATTATAAGTTGTGCAACTGGGATCCAAGCTCCCTGAAGAGGGGTCCAAAATCCCTACCTCAGATCAACAATGTTTGAAGCAAATATTGTAAGAACAGGAGCCACTCCACTTTCAGCCTGCGTACACTTCAGTGCTTGAGCAAAGGTCATACATAGAATTAAAGGACTTGGGTTCCTGTCCACTAATTCTGTCCTTAGAAGTTGTTCTATCCATGTTCTATCAAAAGTTCTGTTTTTTATCGATGCTGTCTTGAGTTTAGCATGTGAGCTGTCTTTAGGTGAACAAAGCAAATACTTGAATAGTCATTTGCAATGAGTCAATCTAACAACATGCAGGTCAAGTTTCTCAGTTGTTATTCCCTTCATGAAAAACTGAGGCTCCACTTGTGCAGAATAACAGGTCGTCAGGGCAATACAGCTTAAGTTCAGAGATTGGTTGCTACGGAGAAGTCACATCTAGATGTGTATAAGAGACAGGGCACAAAGATGTCACAAAAAAATTAAATTAAATTTAAATCATAATTATAATTTAGAGGGAATTTGCGAAAAACGATAATTCAAATTGTGGAAAATTCAAACAGTCGTAATTTTATTTTGATCAAGAGGAAGAAACCCATCAGTCAACGAAGAAATTAAATTAGGATTAACATTAACGCAAACAGCTGTCCGAAAGCAAGACCTCACATTCAATTATCGAAAGAAACTGTTGAGCAAAATATAATTATCACAATCACTTAGTGATCAAAATAGTTGTAAGAAATAAAAATTTTGTATATCTCCCAATTGCTGATTTGAACCCCTATAAATGCCACTCAATCCCTGTGACTGTCATGCATTCCCCATGACTTGCTACACTGTGAAGTACGATTCCAAATTGGAAGAAGCCACTTCTAAGACTTTAGAGAGATAATGACAAAGTAGTAAAAACATGAAAATATGAATTTCCAGGGAATGAGTTAGTTTCCTGGAATTATCATTCAAACCCTAAAAATTCCCTTACTATGAGTATGATCATCATTCCTGTGATTTCATCTTTATTCACCCCTACTGAAACTGTTATAATTTCCCACATAAACACCATCGACCTCCTTTCCCGCTATCCCAGAATCTGAGTTCATCACCTTTTAACCTCTGATGAAACTTCAATCATCATAGTAACTAAATGGACACAATCAAATCAATACTTTGGAAATTTGATACAAGTAGCACTAATGCATCATCGTCATTAATTTTCTTATCCTATAGTTTGAATTTTTCTCATTAAAAACAGTCTCTTTAAGCTTCCTAATGCAACTTACGAAGAATAAAATATCATAGCTACCATTATCAATTATTTGCTTTTTTATACCATCCAGTATATATTTAATCATTATTATGGAAAAATCCTGAATGATATTGGCAGGATTCAAAATCTCAAAAGAATCATAACAAAATGAAAAAAAAATAAATAAATAAAATTACGAAAAAGAAAACAAGGAAAAGGAGGAAGCTAAACATTACCTTGAGTTTCCGGTATAGGTGGATGAGTTACAAGAACAGGCGCCCCTGTGTATGAAGGTATTAATTAAATATCCAGAGATTGTATTCATCAACTTATGGCAATTAATTGGCAGTTAATTATATAAAGTAATTAATTTCTAATTATTCAGTTATCTGAAATTTAATATGATTATATTTCACTTAAAATTTATATATTGAAAATCTAATTTACACTATTCTACAAAATATGCATTTAAAAATGTGACCTAGATTACGGTACTTTACAAAATATATGCATTTTAGTGGTGACCTGGATGAGTTGAATAAAGAGCTTTTAAGACGTGACATGGATTTTACATGTCACATCTCATGTTAGTAGTAATCCTCTTCAATTTGACTAGGCTGCAGATATTAAATATATTAAAAATAAATTTGTTTGAAAAGATGAAATATATACAATAAAGAAATGATATTAACATGGGGATTGATATCAAATGTAAATGAAATGTCAAATAATCAGAAAATAATGATTACACCATACAAATAGTTTGTGCATCAATGAAATGAAGGTGGTTTAAGTACTGTACCATATTTAATGAAATTTTCATTAAAACATACAAAGACACAAATAAATTTGAACACTTGATTTATGGACATGAAATTCCAAAATAAAAGATGAATGAATGAATGAATTATTAAACATATTTAGGTACATCATTAGAAAACTATGTTTGATTATGATTTTCTGTTTTGTTTAACCAACATTAACTGACTTGACATAGGACTAAATGTTTGAAAGAAATATGGAAAACAATGTGAATTGTTATTCCAAAAAAAAAAAAAGTTTAAATTACTATTGCTAACCTTGTTACACTTTTTTAGAAGTCATTAAAAACCATTTTAGCATGCATTGCTAGTAAATTAATACCCTCATAATACTAAGGTCATAGTTATTATGTTATTTACATGCATTCCAGTTATTTGTCAATATTGAGGTTAAGTGAATCATATTCCTCAACTCTACAAATTTTAATTTATCTGTAACACACTACTGCTTACATATTAATTTTTTTTTTAAATACAAATCAACCTAAAAGGGTAAAAAATTGCAGTGTTGTTCAAGTAGTGATTTTTGAAAGTCAGTGGTCGGTTACAAATTCTTCTAATATGGCCTAGGCCTTATTCTAGGGGTTCATTACCAAGCATCAATAACCTCAGCCGCATTAATTTTGTTGGTTTAATGCTATACATTCTGGGTTACATAAGCTATCAAATTACTGATTTAGGATGAAAAATGAACTTTGAAACATCATACATGCATTTTGGGCTCCTATTTGGCAAACAATTTTTATGCCAAAATTTTAAATATACACCGCTGCCAAAGTTCTCAGTTTCACATCAAAAAAAAGATGAGGGTCCTCGAGTAAATAAAGTCCAACTATGCTGAAGATTACTCTGCTAAGTTGGCAAAATGTTGTTACTCAGTGGCGTATCTAGGGGAGGGCGTGGAGGGCGCCTCCCCAGTCGCCCCAAAATCACGGTCAAGTAGTTAAAAATCACCTAAAATCTCCATATTTTGCGAATTAGCGCCCCTCAACTGATCGAGCCCCCTACCCACTTTACCTTCTCGCACCGCCACTTCACCTTCGCGCCCCCCCCCCAATTCAAGACTTCTAGATATGCCACTGCTGTTACTGTAATCCAAAGAATGATCACAGGTTTGGTTCCAACAGCAGACCATACTGTATTTACCGTTATAATCAACAATATTATGTAAAATTATCATGAAGATAATCAAAGATCTAAAAAAAACTTTGAACAGAAATTTCATGTAAATTCTAATAGAAAGCACCTTAAGTGAAGGACACCCTCACTTGATTAGTATTAGTGGTAAGAAGAGAAATGTATGATGGACACACTGCATAAGTATTGCTTTAGTCATCCATCTTAAATAGGATCTATGATTATACTAGGTTGCCTTTAAAGGTTGTTAAAATTATTAACACCTTAATTGAAGGCCGACCAAGAGTATGTTCACCTACAATAATCTATCAACTGACAAACAAGAATTTGAAAAAAAAACTAAAAAAACTAAAAATGATATGTTTATCAATTTGTTGCCTGATGATTTGTATGATTTAATTTTGACTATAATGTTGTTCAGGGAAAACATTATGGAACTCGTAAGGAGAAATGGGCCTTGAACTTGTATGTTAACTTAGGTTATAATTATTTTTAATTCAGCCCTTGCGTTTGACCAACATTATGGCTATGTGTTACTTTGTCAGGATCTAAAAATAGAATAGGGGAAGTTAGTAGGCGGAATTGAATACAGAAACGGAGAGATCAGTAATTTTAAAAAAATTGTTAAGCCCAAAATGAATAAATTTTTGGCGTTTAACGCAGCTACTGATTTATCTCAGATAAGATAGGCTTCAAGTATAACAGATTTTTAGGTGTTAATAAACAATAATTTTTCCTTAAATTATATATGCTTATCTAAAACAAATACAGAACAAACAAATAACATATTTACCAGGTATGTTTACAAATATAGAATATTGACTGTGTGAAATTCTTTATTACAAAACATTTTTTTTTTGACTATTTAAGGTGGTTACTATAAATTAAGTTAAAGACTAGCCACTCCCTCCTAAACATTTGGTTCCAATGGCAATGTTTCTAGAGCAAGTTTAAGTCAAACTAACTCTACCATGGTTAACAGAGTAAATATTGCTGCCTAGAGTTAAATTATAAAGGTATTGACTTAGTCATTAAACCGATGCCCATGAGAGATTATAGCCAGTTTTACACTCGCACGAACCAAAGTAGAATCCAATCAACTGAATATTTTCCACTGCCGCAAAAGGCCAGAGAGATGGAGGACAGTCATGAAAATTAAACACTGTACGTGATGTTGAGAAATGTCCACTTTACTAACAATATACTGTAATAATAAATTCAGCAACGGGGTGAATTATATCACAAGATATATAAACTCTTCTTTTGAGCTCTTGCATATCCATATATAAGGCTTTTAAATTTGATATTTTCATCTTATATTTTTGCAAATTGCTTTAAGTAATGAAGCTAAAGTGTTGACTTAATAGTAACAATTTGCATATCCATATCAGTAGTATCAAGGATATGGATGAAATACATGGGCCTATTAGGAAGATTGTACAGGTCCTACTTTTATGAGGGGATGGGGGTCGAGGTATAAGCATTCTATTTCATGAATAGGGAATTTATTCTGAGATACCAAGAGTCCTAACATAATAGGCCAAATACCGTAAATGCTCGAATAAGCGCCGCTCTTGAATAAACACCGCTCTCGAATAAGCACCGCACTATTCGTGAGTTTTTTCGTTAAGTGCCGCTCTCGAATAAGCACCGTGGCGCTTAATTGAGAGTATACTTGTATTACGCTGTGTGTAGAAACACTTTGAGAAACAGGGTTTTAAATACAATGACACAGTAATACAATGAAGACAAGCATTTCTTTATAAACGTTATGATGATAAGACCTATGATAGACTACGGGAATACGTGAAATAGGTAACATAGGAATGGGCATGGAAAGCGCCTCGCCAATTTTTATTTTTATAAGCGCCGCTCTGCGGCACTTATTCGAGCATTTATGATATGTAGAAGCTGTGCCATCAACATAGAAACTAATTAAAACAATTATTGTAAATGCAAACAAAATTTAAATCAAGATATCAATGTAATAAGACTGTGGCAGTTTACTACATAACTTAATACACATCCTTTATATCACACACACAAATTAACATCATTCAACATCTATAGAGAGATTTTATATAAGAAAAAAGTAGGACAGGGAGGGCATTACTTTGAATTACAATAATTTATCTCGCAAGTATAAACTGTAAATGTTAGCACATTGAGAATATCGCATTATATTTACCAATTATATTTCTTGTATAATATTCATAGAGGTGAAGTAAGAAGCCAATTATGTGTAATTACTTTTTTCCCTGACTTTGTGGTTAGTCAGCGGTTTAATGGATCGCTTTACCATGACGTAAATCAAAACTTACACATTGCTTGTACTATGAAGGCATCTTAAATATCACAAACTATAATGTGATTTACAAGTTTTGTTTTGCATTCATCCTTTATACTGATTACTTCAGTACATGAATGCAGCGTTAATATATATTTAATATTTCATAGGAACCCTTTTGGGTTTGTATCTGATGCCGTATAAATGTGTGGGTAATTTTTTATGATTTGGTAAGAAGTGATATATAATAATAATTATTAATAATAATATTAGTTTAATCTTGATTACATTACTACATTAGAAAAAAAAAAAAAACCGAATTAAGCAAAATATAAATTTAAAAGATGTGTTTTGAGTAGTTGTTTAAATGTGTTGATGTTACCAGTTGCTTTTCGAATTTTGATTCCAAAGGGCAACTGAGGTAATCTTTGCAGATTTGTATAGATGTATGTACTGTCTCTTATACACATCTAGATGTGTTTGAAGGCCGACCAAGAGTATGTTCACCTACAATAATCTATCAACTGACAAACAAGAATTTGAAAAAAAAAAACTAAAAAACTAAAAATGATATGTTTATCAATTTGTTGCCTGATGATTTGTATGATTTAATTTTGACTGTAATGTTGTTCAGGGAAAACATTATGGAACTCGTAAGGAGAAATGGGCCTTGAACTTGTATGTTAACTTAGGTTATAATTATTTTTAATTCAGCCCTTGCGTTTGACCAACATTATGGCTATGTGTTATTTTGTCAGGATCTAAAAATAGAATAGGGGAAGTTAGAAAGCGGAATTGAATACAGAAATGGAGAGATCCAAAAATGAATAAATTTATGGTGTTTAAAGCAGCTATTGGTTTATCTCAGATAAGATAGGCTTCAAGTATAACAGATTTTTAGGTGTTAATAAACAATAATTTTTCCTTAAATTATATATGCTTATCTAAAACAAATACAGTACAAACAAATAACATATTTACCAGGTATGTTTACAAATATAGAATATTGACTGTGTGAAATTCTTTATTACAAAACATTTTTTTTTAAAATATTTAAGGTGGTTACTATAAATTAAGTTAAAGACTAGCCACTCCCTCCTAAACTCTTGGTTCCAATGGCAATGTTTCCAGAGCAAGTTTAAGTCAAACTAGCTCTACCATGGTTAACAGAGTGAATATTGCTGCCTAGAGTTAAATTATAAAGGTATTGACTTAGTCATTAAACCGATGCCCATGAGAGATTATAGCAAGTTTTACACTCCCACGAACCAAAGTAGAATCCAATCAACTGAATATTTTCCACTGCCGCAAAAGGCCAGAGAGATGGAGGACAGTCATGATAATTAAACACTGTACGTGATGTTAAGAAATGTCCACTTTACTAACAATATACTGTAATAATAAATTCAGCAACGGGGTGAATTATATCACAAGACATATAAACTCTTCTTTTGAGCTCTTGCATATATCCATATATAAGGCTTTTAAATTTGATATTTTCATCTTATATTTTTGCAAATTGCTTTAAGTAATGAAGCTAAAGTGTTGACTTAATAGTAACAATTTGCATATCAGGGGCGAGTACAAGACACCTTGATACTACTGATAATATATGGATATGGATGAAATACATGGGCCTATTAGGAAGATTGTACAGGTCCTACTTTTATGAGGGGATGGGGGTCGAGGTATAAGCATTCTATTTCATGAATAGGGAATTTATTCTGAGATACCAAGAGTCCTAACATAATAGGCCAAATACCGTAAATGCTCGAATAAGCGCCGCTCTTGAATAAACACCGCTCTCGAATAAGCACCGCACTATTCGTGAGTTTTTTCGTTAAGTGCCGCTCTCGAATAAGCACCGTGGCGCTTAATTGAGAGTATACTTGTATTACGCTGTGTGTAGAAACACTTTGAGAAACAGGGTTTTAAATACAATGACACAGTAATACAATGAAGACAAGCATTTCTTTATAAACGTTATGATGATAAGACCTATGATAGACTACGGGAATACGTGAAATAGGTAACATAGGAATGGGCATGGAAAGCGCCTCGCCAATTTTTATTTTTATAAGCGCCGCTCTGCGGCACTTATTCGAGCATTTATGATATGTAGAAGCTGTGCCATCAACATAGAAACTAATTAAAACAATTATTGTAAATGCAAACAAAATTTAAATCAAGATATCAATGTAATAAGACTGTGGCAGTTTACTACATAACTTAATACACATCCTTTATATCACACACACAAATTAACATCATTCAACATCTATAGAGAGATTTTATATAAGAAAAAAGTAGGACAGGGAGGGCATTACTTTGAATTACAATAATTTATCTCGCAAGTATAAACTGTAAATGTTAGCACATTGAGAATATCGCATTATATTTACCAATTATATTTCTTGTATAATATTCATAGAGGTGAAGTAAGAAGCCAATTATGTGTAATTACTTTTTTCCCTGACTTTTGTGGTTAGTCAGCGGTTTAATGGATCGCTTTACCATGACGTAAATCAAAACTTACACATTGCTTGTACTATGAAGGCATGTTAAATATCACAAACTATAATGTGATTTACAAGTTTTGTTTTGCATTCATCCTTTATACTGATTACTTCAGTACATGAATGCAGCGTTAATATATATTTAATATTTCATAGGAACCCTTTTGGGTTTGTATCTGATGCCGTATAAATGTGTGGGTAATTTTTTATGATTTGGTAAGAAGTGATATATAATAATAATTATTAATAATAATATTAGTTTAATCTTGATTACATTACTACATTAGAAAAAAAAAAAAAACCGAATTAAGCAAAATATAAATTTAAAAGATGTGTTTTGAGTAGTTGTTTAAATGTGTTGATGTTACCAGTTGCTTTTCGAATTTTGATTCCAAAGGGCAACTGAGGTAATCTTTGCAGATTTGTATAGATGTATGTATTGATAATTATTTTTAATGTAAGTCAGTATTTGATCTTTAGATTTCCATTCTGGGACATTGTTTTATGGAATTTTGATTTTTTTTTTTTTTTGCAGAAAATAAACTAAAAACTTATAATTAAATGAAAAAGGCAAGCAAGGATAATTGGACATCAACTCATATCAGTCACTTGAAAAAAAAATCAGAACCTTAAAAAATGTAAGCACTTGATTTTGTAAGTTCTCCAAATAGAATTTCAATTATATTACCCTAACAGTTCCACCTTGTTTATTATGTCAACTCATTTTTCATCCAACCACTTTTGGTATCCTTAAATTCCTTTGGGTCTCATATGCAATTATTAGCATTCTAAAGGTATTGCAATATCATACTGTAAGAATTAGGCGCTGAATTACAACCAGTTGCCTCATTTTACTGCTAACTAAGGAACACAATCAGTGGTCGTAAATTATCTACAAAGTTTATCAATTTGATGTCGGACTTGCAATCCTGAATGACGCCAACCATTAGCTACTGCTTCTCCTAGGACACTTAAAATTATGTTAATGCCAGAGCATTTCAAGAATTTACAAAACAATTTACAAATCTAGAATGTCAATGAAAGTTGCAAAACCTATTAGCAATCTTGTTTCATGGTCTTTTACTTTTCAAGACTTAACAATGTCTAGAATCAGTACTTATTATGTCAAAATATTTTTCCATTGTTGAGAAAATATGTCTCACCAAAAAAGAGCATATCAACTCTAATGTTGCTTCATTTGTTGCATTCTTGTTCTGGTAGTAAATTTAAGTGTTTTCATAAAGTCTACATACCAGAGTCAAATAGTTTGTCTCAATGGAAGCTGACAAGATATTGATTCTTTTTTATCAATTTTGTAATCATTTGAATTTTGGAATCTTGAATAATCAAATTTCTTAAATGGATTACCCTAATAATACAAATAAAAAAAAAGGATTTAATTGGTAAGTATCCTTTGTTATGTAAAATATAAACAAAAAAAAAGATATTACAACACATTTTTTTGCTTTGGTTTTTGCTTTTAAATAATAAAAAAACAGTTCTTTTACTTTCATTTTAATCATGAAAAGTAAACTATTTATCACAAATATAAAAGTCATAATTTAATTATACAGAAGGTATTTGGTACTGTCCATCCGATAATCAAATTAAGTCAGACAGATCGGCAGGAATTTCTTCATCAGTAGTAAATTAGTAAACACAAATAGTTTAATGAGTTTGTGAAGTTTGTGAAGCACAATGGAATGACAGTCACTGTGACAATCCCAAAGCCTAAGCCACACCCATGGACACATATACATTTCCTAATTAGTCCTGTGTAAGAGATGTAGGCACTGTGATGATGTACCCACAGACACACCCATAGACAAACACACATAGTTATGAATTAGAAATGTGTAGTGAGAAAATATGGAGGCACATTGACGTAACACATATGTTGACAATTGATAAACCAATAAAACCACACATACGCATCTATGGGTCAGTTGTTAGGGTAAGTGGATTACAAAGATTATTATTATTAGTCAATAAATTCCTCCATGATAAAACTAATTAAGTGAATCATTGATTACTAATTAATGATCATTATCATCATTAACCTTTCATAATTGACTACAGGCTATATAACTGATTACAGATCATGATGGAATAAAGAATATCGACATTAAATTTGAGAATACAGCACCAAAAAACTACAACCTGTTAACAGTTTTTGCAATATTTAAGCAATGCTTTTTTTTATATTCCAATACTGTTCACATTTTTCTCAATTTATTTGCATTTTTTTAACTGGCAGAATCAAAGCTGAATTACATGATAATGTTTCAACATAATAATTAAATCAAATATTAAATCTTGTTACTGTATACAAAATATTAAATGATTCTCCAAATATGGATATCCTGTTATTAATGACAGATCAAATGAATAATAGTATGAATAGTGATTATAATAAAAATAAATATTAATAATAACAATGATTTTTATGATGATGATAACAATTAATAAATTTATTTTAAAAGGAAACCATTATCATTATTTATATATATCATGTCAAATTATGTATGACAAGTGATAATAAATATATTAAATTATTATAATTACGATTATGATTACTATTCAAATACAGGTCTCCCTCTAATTAAAGACCACTTCCAATTGAAGACCAAATTAATATATTAATCATTATTATTGAAAAGTAATTCTAATCTCATACCTGCTGGTTCCCCATTGCAACTTGGACGCCGTAACGGAACTGAAGTACCCGGAAGTGGTTTACCAAGATTATCCACACACCAGCAGTACCCAAATGACCTATGACACTGAATTGACGAGTAACTTCCATCTGGATTACACTGTGGAATGAATATGCTATTCGTTGAAGGGTTTGAACTTGCAGCCGCCATCAAGATGGCCGCGTCTCTCTCAACTAGACATTTAGATTTTTCTGTAAGTACAAAATTATTCTTTACATGAATAAAAGGCAATATTTTGATTTGATAAAATTAATTATAATATTAATAATAAAAAATAAATACAAATCCTGCTTATTATTAAATTAAATTTAATATAACTAGACAAATAGGTCTACTGCAAGCACTATCGAGACTATCAAGATTTATTTGACAAATTTGCATAAATTGTCCTAATAATATGGGCATGATGACATCCATATATGGGCAAAATAACACGTCAAATAAATTGGGCATGATGACATCAATATATGGGCAAAATAACACGTCAAATAAATTGGGCATGATGACGTCAATATATGGGCAAAATAACACGTCGAATAAATTGGGCATGATGACGTCAATATATGGGCAAAATAACACGTCAAATAAAACTTGATAGTGTTGCCAGTCACTCAACTGTGCTTTATACCATTCAATCCAATATACCTTCACACTTTCCCTTTTTGATAATTTGAATTTGCTTTCCCAGGCACTTAGCATACTGTAGTTCGCATCTTGAGTTGTAAGTTCTACCATCGCTTCCGCATAATAATTTTGTTGGTGCATCCTTACAATCCGAATTACAATTTGGGTTTGTTACTCTGTCAACTGGGAACTGTAAAAAAGAAACTTTAATTATAATAGTGATAATAATTCATAAGGGTAGGCCTAAATGTAGGAGAATAAACCCACAACTCACTGGGCCATTTTGCTGAATTGCATATGGGCGTGGCCTGTGACTACTATAGTCGCCGTAAAGAGGTGCTTATAAAGTAGCTTCATGTTCATCGAACACGAACCCAATATATCACGTCCATCGATTTATACACGCGAGGGATAGTGGGTATCAGAGGAACCACCCACTTGATTCTTTTGGCAGTCAATTAAAAGATACTATCACCCACAACATCCATTTTAGACGGCTAAGAATGAAAACATAACTTTGAATTACTCATTATTAACCAAACCACTAAGTTATCAAATTTTTTCAAGTTCAGGATTTTTGTTAAATTAATGATTTACAGACATTTTATTATAAATTCCTTATCTGCTGCCAGATATTTATGGCCATAGGTTATGTGAAGACATAGACACATTAAATTTAAAAATGTTTTCTTCACTATAATTGTCAGCAGAAAGCCAAACACATTGAAATTAACAAAACTAACCACTTTCAAGTTGTCATACCTGAAGTACAAATGTTTTAATCATATTTTTAACACGAAACTATGATTAACGCACGCATTGTAAACTGACGCACATGCCACACTTTCACTGCACACCCGTCAAAATTTTTTCACAACCCAAACATAGGTTGCAGAACGGTGCTTAAAAGTACAAACAAGCCAGATGTCTACACTTGACCACCATTTAAGTCCTTCAAGAAGACTTGGTTCTACCAAATGAAGCCTAGATGAGGAGCAACTGAAAACAGTGTCAATATTAATGCTGTTATGGATGCCTGAGCTTACCGTTCAGCCACTTGACTTCAGTCTTACCTATTTGGACTATTAGTTCTATCAACTAAGGTTTCTATGTAGGCCCTAGTTTGATCCAATTTGGCCAACAAATGTATTTTTTAATTTAATTGAATTACCCATGTCATAGGGATGTTATTTAAAAATTCATAACTCCTAACAAACAGTATGATGCACAGTCACATCACATTAATTTTTTTATGGAAAATGTTCTTAAAAGACTATTATACACCACTATATGATTGAAAATATTTTTGGACTGAAATAAAGATGGAAAAAGAAGAGCCTATCTAATTAAATATTTTTGATATATTTTTGGACTGCAATTTTTATATTTTTTGTATTATATATATTTAAATTCAATTTAGGCCTACTGTAATTTTAATTAATATAATATATTTCAATTATTTAATGAGTAGTAGACTTTAAATTTCACTAATTTCAATTATAACCCTAGGCCTAGTATTGTATTAGCATTTTGTAATTTGAGGTTTTTTTGATGTTTGTTGCTAAAATTATATTATTTTATTGATCTGTTTGGTGTTAATATTTCTGTTTATGCCAGATTCAATGAACATCTCTGTTTATGTAATTTATATGTTAATAGACCAATAAAGAGTATCTTATCTTATCTTACTGCAGTATAGTAAGTATCGATGCTCCTACCTTAGCCTAGGCCCTACCTCAACCAAGCCGGCAAGTTCCACCGGATGATGTGTCCTGTCGGTCTCCACAGAACTGAGTACCTTTATTATATAGGCCTAGTCTAGGCCCTAGATAGAGGCCTAATCAGGAAGGACTGAAATACCAGGCAGCAAAATAGGCAGATTTTATAGCCATAATGCCACTGCTACAAGTCTTAATGTAACATTTGTCCTTTATATCCATCCCAAAAACACAGCTAATAAGACACATCTTTGTCGTCTGACATTGGGGGAAACACCGGAAATGACACATTATAGCAGTTATACTGCCAGCTGATTGTCACCAACTTTCTACCAATGAACAATCGCCCAAGCGAACCAAGAAGGAAGAGGGATCCGTGTAATAATCGTCTACAGTATTTTGTTTTACAATGTTATTTAAACGGGTGGTTTATCGTCAACATATCACTTTCATTTCTTCCTTTCTTACTATGCAGGCCCATATCCAGGGGAGGGGGGGTGTTTATGGTTCGAGAGAACCCCCTTTTCTAGGAAATCCCGGCCTTTTATGGCGAACCCCCTCTTCAAATTTCACAAATAAGTCTCCAACCCAACTAATGCACCGCAGACCCACCCAGACACAGACGTTTTCAAACATATCTACTTTTATAGCATTATTTAGACCCATAAAGCACAAAAATCCTCCTGCTTTGGGGTTTTGCCGACCCCACCGGGGCTTCGACTGTGGACCTTACGCCCAGAAAACTCCCATTGGAAGAACTTGGAAGGACCTGGCTACGGGCCTGCTATGTCACCGCTTTTACTTAAAAAATGTTTTTCATGTCAAAAACAAAATATACATCATAACAACCCTCAGTCGAACCGACCATCAATAACACCAAAATCGCCGGCATACCAATGTATCAACATTTAAACATGTCTTAATTATTACAGATTATAGCAGCAAAGGTTTTTTTATAAATTGCATAAATTATATAAATTGCAAATAAGGGGTTTTGATGAGCCGCTCAGATTTTACAAGAATGTGAGTATTTCCCCCTATCCCAGTTACTACTACTGTTCATCATCATGTGAGGCCCTAATTCTCCAGTAGTTCGGATGAATGCGAGTATTTCCTCCCATCCCAGTAGTCCTTTTGTCATCATGTTAGGCCCTTACAAAGTGGCTCGGACGATTGCGAGTATTTCCTCACCATCCCAGTAGTGTTGCTCAGTGGAATAGAAAAATATT